TCACCCAAAATTCAGAGGTAGGTATATCAGCTGATTTCATACAGGAGGAATAAAAATTGGATAAGAGCTGCAATCCTACATTATTTAAGGGTTTGATGATTGAAATCAGCTTTTGGATCAAGCTGAATATAACCTGTCACTTTGGCACCAGGAATCCGCTGCCGAATGCCCAGCGGACCAGAGACATTTACAGTCAACCTTTCTCCATGCCCAAAACTTTGCCTGGGAGCATTGACCAGATGGGAGGACAGGCAGCAATCTCGGAGATTACAGATGTGCAAAAATCCCTCATGTTCACAGCTAGCCTGTTCTGAAAGCGAGCTATCCTGCCAGAGGAAGTTCATGTGTTTACATTCTGCATTTTTACTTTCTTTTACCTTATTTCTTCAGAGCTTTGAGCTGTACTGCGTGCAGAAGTGGAAAGGATCCTGCATTGCCCACCTATTTGCAGCAGACGGGACCAAACCAGAACCCGCTGCATCCTCTTCAGCTCTCCCATGTCTGAATGAGGAGGGGGTGATGCTACAGGCCTGAAAACTTCAGCTGAGGCTGATGCATCTCACAGCACTGCAGGACAGCAGCATTTCTGCTGCCTTTATTATTATTATTATTATTATTTCCCATGGGCTCTTGCCCTTTCATTGATTTTATGTTGAATTTATTTTATTTGAAATAACTGAAATCAGTAATTGAAATCAGTAACTGAAATCCTTTGAATCAACACACGTTTGAATTTTGACTTTACGTTGAATCTTGGGCCCCGTTATGTCTTTAAAGCCCACCCAGGCCAGCCGGAGCTACAGGCCCAGCAGGGCCTGGCCCGCAGGCGCCTCCTTCACCGTCTCGGGCCTGCGGCTCCCCGACGTCCTCCACGGGGCTCCCTTCTGTGGGGCTCCCCTCCGTGGGGCTCCAGAAGGCAACATGTGGGGCCGGCCCAGAGAAGGCCAAGGCAGCCGGGCCCAAACCTCAAGGAGCCGGGCTCCTTTCCCTCCCATCCCCAGTCCTTTCTGCTGTCTCGGCCTGTTATTCCCAAACATCCTCCTTAGATCTGTCCCAGGCCCTTCCCCGCATCCCGTTTTCCACCCTTTCCCTTGTGGACCCCCTGGGCGATCCCCCTCTGAAGCTGTTTGGTCACTGTGTGCTTCTCTATCCCCCACCCAACACACGCCACGTCCTGCATGTGCCCAAGGGCCCATTCCCAAAGCGCTGCTTCTTCCATCCCTGATGGAATGGAAGGGATGGCACCCGCAGCCCCCGCCATCAGTTCCATCCCAACAGCGACTCTTCCTTCTCCAACATTCCCTCAAATCCTGCAGACCTGTAAGGCTGCTGACCTCAGTGACTGCCATCTCTAAGGGCCCATGCATTGTTCTGAGGGAAAAACCTCTAAAAATACATGGAATAAAAAGCAATGGAAATGCTTTTCAATCTTCAGCTTGTCTTCTTCCCTTGCTAAAGAAATAAACAGGCAAAATTGTTTGGTTTGGTTTAATTAATCACTGGTTAAGTCATAATACATTTCAAAGCAAAATCTTTTCAAGGACATTGTGCCAAACATTAAATCTATTCATTTTTTTTTAAACAAGGATTAATTTGACTATATTACCTTTATATACATACAAGTATAGATTTTTGATTTCACTAGTAGCAAAGTTACCCAGTACATTGCATTTCCTGATGAAAGATGGCAAAAATAGGACTCGAATATCTCTTCTGTCCTTCCACCCACCCCAAACCAGAAAAATCACAGGTATAGAAAGTACAATCACAACTACAGGTAGTTACAGTAAGGATATCAGAGCAAGCTAAGTCTTTCATCATGGAGATGACAATTGCTTCTAGAAGCCTAAATAGCAAATATACAGTACATTCCACTAAAGAGGGTTTCAGGAGCTCTCACAATGCCTCTTAATCCTCCGTTAGTAATGAAAGCTTTCATGACAAAAAACAAAAAAAGTATCCTTCATAAAATGACTGAGTTTTTATTTTTGGAGCGTGTGGTTTGAGGTTGGAGGCAGCCCAGGCTGCAGCCTGCAACGAGCTCACCCCGATGGAGAGCAGACAGAAATTGTAGGATTCACCTGAATGGGAACAACAGCCCCAAGGAGTCAGCCCTGAAGGCGACAGGCGGCCACCCTGGGCCGCTCTGGAGCGGGGACAAACTCAGGTGCTGGGAAACGGTACATTCCTTCCTACAGGTCGCTCACCTGCAAGCTCTTGAAGGGGGGGGGGGGGGAGAAAAAGAAAATGTCAACTGACCAATAAAGCACATGCGACTGTACAGGACTGTTTTGAACATATTTACAAAGCACTGATTACACTGCCACTGTCGGACAACTCAGAGCAGCGCAAAAGAGCAAAATCCCCATATTTATGCAACAACCCCTGAAGTATTTCCTGCGAGCAGCAAGGGGTGCTATGGTCAGAGACCAGGCCAACACACACTGCTGCCAACAAGAAGCTGCCTTTGGGCTTGGGAGTTGCAATGTGTTTTTAGCCCAGCATCCCCAAATGGCAGCCGAGACCTTGGTTCCAACTCAGGTTATGTTGGTGCAAAGTATTAATTCTCTGCATGCAGCTTTTGAGGCAAAAATCAGCAAGGAACTCATTTTATCCCCAGCAGGACAACTTTGGAGGAAGTTTCTAGCATCAACAAGAAAACTGAGATAAAACATGTATTTCAGGAGCACTCATTCATCATTGCACTACCAAAGACTCTGCCACTGTGGCATGGAAGTGTTCTTTATCAGCACTGTTGCAGATTTTGCTTCCTGTATTTCCTGGAAGAAGGTACCACTGATTAGCCAACTACCTCACCCAAGTAAGGAAGCAGAGGGACTTTTCCCCTACCCCATGCCTCCAGCCACTAACTGACAGCCTGATTTAATATGAACATAAATGCTTAACTGCTCACATTTCTTCCTCTTGAAGCTGAACCAAGTTTGGCATCAGTAGGAAACACCAGACTGATGTGCCCAGAGCTAAAGAAACCAACAAATTTCCCCTCCACAGCCAAAAACACTCTGTTTCTCCTCATTTGGCAGGCCCTAGCCACACACACTCCAAGAGCCTTTCCTCTCTGCAGATCCCCAATTCAACAGCTACGTTGTTCGACTCTCCAGATCCCACAACTCCAACAGGATCAAGTTCAGAAGTAACTAGTGGAAATCCCCCTCTGGCTTTACAAGACCTCCTCCACACCAACACCAGAAAGCACAAGCTCCTGGTGCCCATAACAAGTCAGCAGCGCTTCTTAACGCGGTGCTGCAAAAGGAGGCAACAGATTTATTTTTTTTTTTTTGCAGCAGAGATTTCTGCCTACCCACCTAGACCAGCTTTTAAAGCGAGCAGGATCACTCCTACACGTATGTCCACAAAGGGTGAATGCAGGGTACAGTCCAGGTGTCCCTCTCAATCTACACTGCATTGTTTTCACTTGCAATACTTTCATTTTTTTTTTTTTGCAATTGTTTTTCACTTTGCAATAGTGGCTGAAACTCCACAGTTTTAAGAACCTGATCCTTTGAAGCCATGGCGAGGAAGAGTTAAACTCATTTCCCATTAGCCTCAGACATGGTCCAGAAGGCACAGTGTGGTGCAAGAAATGAGTGGCAGCTTTGCCTCGCTTGCTCCTTTACCACTTCCAATGGTTATTTCGAGATGAATTCAAACAGATCTTGTTGGACTTCTGCCTTCCAAAGAACCCCTTTGACAGCAACGCTGCGTAAGACCCAAGGTAATCTTACACAAAGTTCCCCTTGGCTTGCCTCTTCCACATTCAAGTGAAAAAACATAATGTAAAAACCCTAAATGAAAGCATCTTTTACCTTGTTCCCCATGCTGGAACATTCTAGAGAATTCTAAAGAACGCACATTTACTGTGCTCATGCTCCTTAAAATATGAAAGTCCATTTAAAGGACCTTATGAATCCCCTCCTTTGTACATTCTTGTATGCAACACAGCAAAACATCAGTTAAACAAAAACCAGACTGAAGTGAGAGTATCCTGGATTTCCAGAGCCTCTCCCAGATTCCTGGCGCCCAAACTCAACTAAATAGAAAGCAGCAGAGCAGAGGAGCTCAGGCCAAACTCTGTGATTCTCCATGCTTTTAAAAAGGGAAGCCAGTTTCAAGATACCTTCGGACCCAAATAAAACACTCTGCTCTCTTCCTGCTCACCATTAAAGATCACATCTAAGGATCTTCTCCACTGCCCAGGAAAACTTTGAAAACAAGAGGGGACAAAAACCTAGAGAATTGTTGGCATCACACAAAATACCACAAGGCATACAAAGCAGACAGATGTTTTCCTCCAAATTTCAGTGTGTTCTTTTTCTAAAAGTCATGCACATATTCAATAAAAGAACAATCAGAAAGTGTGTCCCTTCATATTAAGGTCCCTGAATGTGCTGCAGTGAACAGCTGCCCGTTTCTACAGGTCTGTGGATCTAATTTTAAGCCTGCCACAAGGTATCACCTACCTTAGACCTGTAAAAAGTCACACAGGTCTCCAACACATCTATTCCACCAGCAGAAGTCTTTAAGTTCTTTGGATGCATGACAAAAAATATCTTCCAGTAAAGAAAGCTTAGTTCCTTTACTCTGAGATGCTAAGTTACCTATTTTCATGAAGGAGAAACCTGAGATTTAAGACTGCTGCAGAGCAGCAACTGAAAGAGCTGCAGCTCTGAATAACAACCTTGCTCCTGATCGCAGACTCCGCATTTGAAAGAAATCACAGCAGCTGAATAGATATGTATATATACACACACGTATATATACACACATACACATGCACCCTATTGCAGACAGATGTTAGTAGACAACTGTTAGATCTGAGCAACTATAAAATACACCCTGAATTTGAAAATTTCTCTCCCATCAGCTATCGGGCTGGTTTGGCAGTGGAAAACCTCACAAAGCACAACGTTGTTTACCTGGCATGAGAAATCTCATTTTTCTCTTGGTCAGAAGTCGCTCCTCAGAAGAGTTACCTCTGACAACGTTATACAGTTTTCCTTTGATGTTATATAACTTTTTAGTTAAGCATGAAAAACGGATGGAATGACAAGATGTCTGAAGTATCTTTATCCCCTTGAATGCCTGAACTTTTGTTCCAAGAGACGGTGACCGAAACGTCAACACAGCAATAATGACTTTCAGCACTTCCAAACTTGCTATGAGATCTGAAGCTCATTATTACACAAGTGGTCCTTTGCATGCACCTACTCCAGCACTGCTGAAAAACTGCCATTTCAGGAGGGATGAGAAAAATGGCAAGTTTTTGTCCTGAAGTTGTGTCTTTGACTCATTTTGCACCAGCCAGTGCATGGAAGGTGCAGGAACAGAAATGTGACACTACAGATGCACCTTGCTTTTCTCCACATATTCTGATGTCATGCATATCTCAAAATACAGAAGTTCAGACATGCAGAAAAGAGTCAAAGCACTCAAAATGCTCTCCAGATGACAACCCTACAACTAACATTTACTGAGTAAAAGGGATAAAATGTTTTGTGCTCACACTTCAAGTTTCAGAATGACATTGTTTCTATAAAAGTAAAGTTCAATAGAAGGCACATTCCACTGAAATCTTAAGAGATACAATTTAAAGAACTTGGAAAATAAGCACACAGTGTTGCCTTCCAAATTTACAATAAATAAAACAGGAACATGCAGATCTTAAAGCCAAGATTTTTTTTCTGTGTTCATGATATGTTAAAAAAAGAAGAACGGCAACTCTGCCCAACTCTCCCACAGTTGGGATCTTTGACTAAACAGCTAGCTATATCATTGTAAGGGATACAGGTATTGTCAGAAAACATTTTAATTTACAGAATGATTATCAGATTGATTACATAAAATACAGCTGAAAATATACACCTGCAGATTTGAGATAAGCCAAGCAAATGCACTGCTGATAACTAAAGCACTTTGAATAAGGCGACAGGCAAACATCAAAATCAAATCACACAAAGCTAACGAGGATAAAAAATTGAGGGGGGAGTGGTCAAGCAGAGATCAACAGATTTGGAATGATTTACAATTTATACTAGTATACCAGATACCAGGAAACATCATTAAAATTCCATTTTACCATATTTAAAGTTGATAAGAAATCCCTACTCCCAGACTAATTTCTTGAAGTACTGAGCAGCTTAATGCCTCTATGTAATGCTTTATACTACATCTTACAAAATACATCACATTTAAGTGTATGACTTCAAACTGTTCTGAAAGCAAAGTATTTCCTAAATTGTAGGCGCATTAAGGTCACAACAGTGCTCAGCCCCATGGCTCAGCTTCATGTTACTGGAAATGAGGTGAAGTTTTAGAAAAGGGACTTTGAACCCTGGTTTTCAAACTCTGACCATGCATCACTCAACTCCATGAAGATCATTTTGGCATACTGCTCGTAAGGCTGTCCTGTGGCCTGAAAACAAAACAGAACAAGAAGTATAAAAATAGTGGGAATGATGATGGAAAGGCTTCATTTCCTTTTATTTGCTACTGTAATGAACATAAGACTGTGTATAATTCTGGAAACCTGTTCACCTGCTCACTACCCTGTTACTGCAGGGCTGAAGCTTCAGTCTCCTTCGTTAATTGGAAATTCTAGTCTAATTCTTAAATGACTGAAACTGTACTGAAACTATTTAGCATGAAAAGAACAGCTGGGAAAATGATGTTTTCAACTAATAACTTGAAAAAAAAAACAATCTAGTCATGATAGGCATTGCCTCCTGACAATCCCTGTATTATCACATAAGCAGTAAGATTTAAGCACTGTCCTCAAGTACACTCTTTTGGATGATGTTTCCTGGAGAAACATCTGTTGCTGGTTATGAATGATGTTCAGCTTCAGTAACACTGAACTCTACTGATTCCCTGTCCACTTCACAGCAGCCAAACCAGCCTCTGTGGTGAGGGAACATCCAGTCCCAAGGGCATGATGAACCATTGCAACATGTTCTTTAACCCCCACGGAAGCCTTAAGTGCCCTCTCCTGCTTGACCCTTGCCAGGTGTAGCATTTTATAGCCCCATTTGTGAGCTGCTTTAACCGTCAGAAAACAAACCACAAAAAAATAATTTATAAGACTGAAAACCACAACATTTGTGAGTTTGTGGCTCCCACAAAGAACTCAGATTAGCAAAAAAGTGCAAGGAGAACATACAGCCAGGGAAAGGAAAGAACAGGAGAACAAAAACGGATGGTCTTGTTTGTTATGGATGCAACAAGACAAATTTATTCAACTAGCCTGTCATGACATGTGGCAGGTATGAAAACTCAAATCAAGTATATTTGATATATTCTTTGCATGTTAAAAATGCCTAGAACAATAATTCAGAACAAGAAACTTCTAACACGTTGGAAAATTAGCAGCAGAAAAACACAAGTATTTCACAGTCAACTGTATTAATAATATAGTCAACTGTAATACAATTATTAATATTTATGTACTAATAAGCCAATTTTATTATATTTTTCATTTGCTGAGGGATTTCCAAAGGCTCAAAGGCTTAACTGTTCTCTCCTCCCAGGGTTTGGGTCTTCATTATACTAGTATTTAACCTTAAAAGACCTGAAGACTCAGCTAGTGGAAACAGAGCCCACTAATCAGCATTAAAGCTGCTAGTCAAGTGAAAGACACCCAGCTTGTGTGCTTGGTATGACCTTCATGAGATTTTACTCGATAAACATCATCTGCTACATTCTGTGTTGCCACAGCAGGAAAGGAAAAATTAATTCTGCACTACCTGGACGCAGCTGGCCACTAAATTCAGAATATTCCTGCAAAGTGCAAAGCACGTAGGGGTACTGATCAATAAACAAAGCTGTATGTTTTGTCAGTGACAAGTATGACACAGCAGAAGTTTGTTTCTTCTTTCTTAAGGAAGGCAGCCAGAAAAGCACTCACCTTGTCTGGGTGAACTACAAGTACTGCTTTTCTGTAGTACTTTTTTACTTGTTCAGGAGTTACCAGATCTGCCATGCTAACTGGTTTCCACTTGTTCTCCCCTTCCCAAAGCACAGTATGCAGAGTGGATATTAACGCTCTGATGTTTCTCTCCTTTCCCTCAATCCATTCAAGAATCTAGGAAAAAAAGAATATGTAAAAATAAAACACATGTAGGCATCCTCATTCTACCTAGACATAATCCTCACTATGTATCCCATACAAGGATACAAGGTTAATTCAAATTGCCTTACTATTCCCTCCACTCAGGTTGTTCAGTCAGGCATCTATGGCCATCAGCCACCCTAAAGTCCCATTTTCCATCTACCACTAGCAATTCTCGTATGTTATTAGTTTGGTTACAGAAATTCAGTCACCACAAGAGAAATTAATTACCAAGATAGCTACCAATTACAAAGCCTTGCATTATTAATGAAATGAAAAGTGAAAAGTAATTAAAAACATCTGTTACAATTACACTATTTCCCTGTGAGAACATAACATTAATTTCTTTGCTGTCTTTACTACAATTCTTACCTGATTTTGTATAAAAAAATTAAAATCATGTTAATCATTTATGTTTACTGCAGTAATCTGCAAGAACGCACAGTTGAAATGTTTTCAGATTTCCCCTGGAAAATTTAATTAAAATAACTGTCCATTTCACAGACTTTATTTAGCAATATTCAAATCACCATGACAGACTGAACTAGCACCGCCATTTAATACTGCATTATATGAGATTTTCTGCCTTCTACCAGCAAAGTATCATAACAAAATGTTCATTTCTATTTGCAATGATTTATGTTAAAGACAGCCGTGCAAGCTCTGCATACTCTCTTAGAAAAGATGGTTTGTAATAACAATTTCAACTATCCCTCTAAAATCCTTTAATTAAATTTTCTAAAGTAGAGTAAGGACTTTAAGAACTGTGAAAAATACATTAATATTTAGTGTTATTAATGAGATATACCATAAAAGATATACCATAAAAATCCAAACAGCTGTTAAGGTAATACCCCATACACTATAAAAAAATTAATACAAATTTAATAATACTTCTCTGAGATGGCATCTTTCAGTAAATTATTACTACAGCAGTAGTACTAGTTTATTAGTAAATGCTCACACTGAAAACAGCTCATCTTACTTGTCTGTATTCAAAAATTACTTCTCTTATCAGCCAAATCAGCTAGAGTGATGTTTGGATACACTGAAAATACATAATGACTCGTCTTAAAAAAAAATAGACTGTCAGCTTAGGTTCTCCAAGTTTAGTTGAAGGAAATGGGAAATCCCTCTCCCTCTTAATTCTCAGGATTAAGTTTCTCATAGTCAACAGACCTGGCTTATATTTATGTAATACACTTTTATTAATAAATGGCTAGCCTTAAGGAATAGAACATCAGAGAAGTACTTAAATTCAAAACTAAGGTTTAGCGTCCAAATTTCTCCCTTGAGTTTCACTTGTGTTGTTTTTCATTCCATAGAGACCTATTTTCCCCATGTTTTTCTTGCCATTACAGAAATCATTTTAATGATTCTCCCATTTTATTCATTAAACTACTTAAAATCCTCAGCTTCTTGGTTTACATTTTTGCAAGACACAAACAAGACTACTCTACCCTTCCTTCTAAACTTTTTAGCTTGTAACAACATATGCCTGCAACTCAACTCATTCCTTTTCTGCTGCTTTGTTATCCTCACATTTATAAGATTTACCATTTCAGAACACTTTCGGGGTTACAGACTTGTAGTAGTATTTCCAATATTTCATTACTGGGATACTTCATTTTTGCTAGTTTTTGCTAATTCACACAATCATGTCAAGGTCATTTAATTACAAATACAACTATTTTGCTTTATCTGTTTCTTCTGTTACTCATATTATCTTGCTCCGTTACCACCAGTTCTAAGCACGAGAGAGACCCTTGAATCAAAATCACCACTAAACAAACCTTCAGTTTCAAGGGATCCATATCTTTTGACATTTCTTGTTTTCTCATCTCAGCAATAGTCTTTGGTCCCTTCTTATCAGATTTAGCTGAAAATCCTTGATTAGATAAGAGATCTTCAAAGTCATTTTCTGAAACCTTTGGCTTTTGACCTATAAAAGGAAAAAACATGACATGAAAATTCCTTCATATATCTTTGAGTAAGAATATGGTTTGTAGATACAGGTGTATCTATCTACATTTCTCACTACCACAATGAATACTTTGGAGTGGCTTGATAAACTCCACAAGATTTACAAAAAGAGACAGGAATGGAAGGTGTTAGTGGACAAGGTTTCAGTCCAGCAGAATATACTCTCATGCACATGACAACTAATGGCTTGCACGTTCTTTTCCAGATTGGAGGGAGCGGCTACACACATCTACGTACTCGGGTTCTGGAAATAGAATCATAAACAAATATAAAAAAAAGATGAAGCTGCAGTAACTTCTTCAGCCAAGAGCACATTTCACTGATTTCACACAGGCTATTACAGTGATACCTTCAGGAAACTTACCAAAACCTGGGGTTCTGACTCCCCTTTCTTCTCGCCCTCCAATGACACTGAAGTTCACCGTGTAATTGGGTTTAGCTGCTGCGCTGGGTTTAGGCTGTGACTGCCATGAAGCACCCTGTGGTTTTGTGTTTTTCTGCCACTGACTTCCAGGCTTGTGGGACGGAGCAGGCTTCTGGGCAAACCCACTGGCTGGGAATCCACCGCTGGAGGGACCTGGCAATAAACACACATTCAGTGCTTGTCCATCTTGGTACCTGTCACTATTCAATGCACTAAGCTGGTTTCTGGCCTTGACATCTAACCAACACAGAGCTTACAATGATGCTAATATTGAAGAGAAAGCACAATAAAAAAGTGCATGTAAAGCAATGAAATCTTAATAACTTTATTAACTGGTAACTTGGACTACAGGAGTTAAAGCAGTTTTAGCAGAAACATTCATTTGCATGATTGGCCAGGCAAATAACTCATCAAGACAGAAAAAAACAAGAATTAAGAAAAAAATCAATTCAGTAATGACAGTGGTTCCTCCAGCAATTCATTACATTTCAATGTCTGTCAACGTGTAATAGAGGATCAAAATAATTAGTATGAAAGACTAACTATATGATCAACAAGATATAGCATATTTTGAAAGCAGTTGTTTGAAAATATTCTGTTTTTTCTTCTGCAACTTCTTGTATAGCTATAGGAAAGATGACAAAGTTATTTTGCAGGAGCATTATCAGGTCATGTCACATGCAAGAGAACCAACACCGAAGCGTGTAACCACTCTGCTGTGCTCTAACCTGTGCACATCAGTATTATACTGCCTTGATTTGCAGGATACCATGTTCTTTTCATCACAGTCTCAAATATAGAAGCACTCAGTGGCTTTAACCGCTGTTTAGTACTTTGGCAGGAACAAACATGCCCTTTTCTTCACTCCATTATACTCAAGGTCAGCAGCTGAGCGCTTCACTATTTTAAATTCACGAGTCAAGTCTCAGTCACAAGGACTAGCCTGAGATTTATTATTCAAAACCAAGCCATCATTAGATTGCCCTTTGCTGACTTCCTTCAAAAAGGAGACTTGTAGAAAGTCAGTTGCCCCGACAACTTAAAGCATAATATTTTCTGGAATAAATCCAAGACAGAAGAGAAGCAGCATGGTGGCTGAACTTACATATACCTAGGGTATGTCACATTTATGATAGTAGAAAACTTACTTAGACCTCTTCCCAGCAGAAAAAATCACTTTAAAATGACAAGATGTATTTGAGACTAGTGGTCAAATATGATTTTGCAACTGAAGCCAGACAAGAAGTTGTCTTAACTGACAGACTTATGATCCCATCTCATTATTTTCATGAGAAAGGTGAGTTAATGCTTAACAGTCCCACTTGCTTAGCTCCTCATGATTACAATTAACTTTCGGCTGAAACACTCCTGCTCCATCCCTGTTTCCACCAAAATCTTTTTCCTCTGATATTCACTACAGAGCCTTAGAGAAAAAAGTCCCCCTGCCAGCTTTGTTAGGTCAGGCCCAGCAACTCAGCCTCTTTTAAAATTGATTCCCCAGCCCTGGGCACCTCCACACTTTTACAGCTCCTGCCTATTTCTGCAATGGTTTATATGGCAGATGTATCACCAGTGCCTCATGCAATACAACACTATGCTGCTAAATACCTCAGATGATATAATCCAGGATTGCACTATCCTTTTTGTAGAAATAGCTACCTGGAGAGTCATTCTAAACGTACTCTGTTTGCCATTTCTAGCTTGTGTTAAAATCCTACCCAAAAAGTAGCTAAAAATTCCAGCTACTGGTCTAATTACATGGCCTGGCACGCTAAAAAAAACTTTCCATTACTCCTGCAAATCATCCTACATTGATTTCTTCATCCTAAAGACTGTTTAGCTCCTTCTATAGGACAAGCCAACATTTCCCTGTCTTAGCAGCAGCTTTCAGCAGCATATATGCAAGAATACTACAGAAATTAAACAAGACCAACTTTCATTCCTTACTGGAATACTACTCCTTGTCTAATAGGAGTAGGATTGTTTTGTAGCTTCTTTTTAACTACTGTTTCTAAACTGCTGATATAGCACAGTTTTCACTCAGAACACACTTTTTTTCCTCCAGAATAATGACTTGTAAGTGAAGTTCAAAGTTCAAAACGTGAAGTTTAGTTCACTCCTAAGAACAGAAAGTAGACTAAATTCCAGTTCTTACACCTCTCAAAATCCACTCCAATTCTGAGAAGTTTAACAGTGATGACTTGCCTCTAATGTACCCATTTTCCCTACTGAGTAACAAATCAATCCAAAATCTTGCTAAGCTCCAATTCCTTCCATAGGTTCAGCATGCTGTACACCTACATCAACATCAAAGTTAAGTTATTGGATTTTTTTTTCCCTCTCACACTGCCTATAAAGAGTTAAGATGATTTTAGTTTACTGAAATATTGAAATTATACAGTCTAGAAAATACTACAGACCAGTCTTATCAGAACTACTCTAGTATTCAGATTTTGCAGGACTCACAGGCACTACGAATAAGTCACACACTGCATTTTACCCTCTATTTAATATTTCACTAAGAGCGTATTTTATCAAACTGTGTATTAACTACCAAAGTGGGATAAACTTTTTAATCAGACATCTAAATACAAATGTGTTGCAAGCTTCAAGTGACAGCCAGGCCCATTACTCATGGAAAAGTTTAATTCATAGCTGTCAAGAGTATAGTCACATAGCTACAGCTGTCAAAATTAAAGTGAACTTCCAAAGCACTATTTACCTCTGGCAACACCTGATGCTTCAGCCCACCACATGGGTGGTAAACAGCTGCTGGACCGTTCTCCTTCTTGAACTGTATTTGTGAGGGTTTTTTTTTCCTGCTGTCTTTTGCATACGAGTTATCACAGGATTAGCAGTGTTTGGAAGAGGGCTGAGGTAGCTTCGTAACCCTTAACAGTTATTTTACAGGCAGCAATGATTCTTCAAGGCTCCTACCTGCTTATCGTACTACTTTGACATGCAAGGGCCCTAGAAATGGCCACAACCTACCAAATTACTACTCTTGAAAAATTAAGGATTACCATTGTTAAAAATGGTAAAATGTTGGCTACACACTTTCAGTTCTATGGGCAGAAGTTAAGGATAATACACATTTCTGCAATTAGGCAGCTACAAGGTGTTCAAGTTGTTGCTCAGGGTCCTGGCATCCAGGCTCATTGAAATAGTCACAAATCAGTAATTTCGTATGGCAGTGTGTAATCCCCTTACTGTCCTTTTCTTGCTGTTTGAGAACACCCCAGGGCTAACTGAGTCTGAGTAAAGCCAACATCCTGAGGACGCAAAATGTTCTTAATATTGACGCAATTAGCACAGAAGCAAAATCAGAACAAACACGACAGACTAACAGACTATCAAGAACTACTGAATTAAATCAAAGTATCCAGTCTAAAGGAACACAGAAGAGTCATTTTAGAAGTAAAAAAGAACTTAATTCATCTCTCCATTTGATATCCTTTACAGTCTAGTATCAATGATAGAAACCTCAAGCTCAGTTACTAAATAAAAGAAACCTAGCTTATTCTTTCATCTAGATTCTAAAACTTTAAGTGCTTATCCTATTTCTGAGCCACAGCTAGGGTTACATTTTAAAATGGAATACTTGATTTTCCATACCATCCCTGCACAGATTCAGTCTTTTCTTGTTACATGTCTATTCTCAGCAGCTGCCTGAAGCTGGTTGCTACCAATTAAAAGAAAAAAATACATATAAGCTATTAGTTCCATTTAATGGATAAAGAAGCAAATTAGAATATCAGTTCTAAGTATCAGTCTCTCAAAAAATCCTACCTGGAAGACCAGATCCAAGGTTGGCAAGATCAGCAAAAGGGTCAAAGTTCTGAGATTTAGCTTGGCTGAAGGATGGACCCGAAGACACACTGGACTGGCTCCCTGTGGTAAAAGCCTGACCTGTACAATAAGAGAATATATAGTGTATTTGGCACATTTGAGAAGGGGTGCCTTAATCAACAAAAGGAAAGACTTGAAGGAGCTTTCAGCAGTTTCAGGTGAACTGGGAAACTGACCAGTCTATAGCACCTCTTACTTACTTCAAAATGATTTATTTAACTCACAATACCTTCAAACAGAGTCTTCTTCATCTGTGGTGATGCCACATTGCTAGCTGTTGAGGAATCTGCCCAAGAATCCCATCCTCCTAAGAGGTCAGGTTGGCTTGAAGATGATGATATTTTAGGTGGCTCTGCTGCCAAATTCCCTAGAGAAGAAAAAAAAATCCATCATCACTCTTTAAGGAAAGCATCACAATAACTGACATTTTGACAAGAATACTTGCAGAACTGTAACTGCATCACTAGTGGGCAAAGCACTTAGTTACGTTCTTGTTTCGTTTGCCAATAGCATAGCCAGGTGCTTTTAAACAAAACAATATCTTTTACCATGGGATTTCTTTCCCCTGTACTTTGAAGCTTCCCCAACCACTTCATAGTGAAGGTACCTTCATCCACAGACAGTGCCATGAATCCAAGGGCTTAGGTCTCCCGGGCAAAAGGACTATCTAAGGGATAGCTGCTTCAGAGCGCTGCAGTGGTGCTGACCACACAGCAGGCAGCAGAAGGCAGCAACGCTGCAGAAATGGTGCCTCTGTCACTGAGCAGCCCATGTTCTACGCAGTTGGAGACAGGTACCTTCACTGTGTGGACTCCTTAAGGGAAAATGGAGCTGCTGGTAAAATAAACTTCTCTTTTGGGTTCAATATCTTTATGAATATGTGCAACTTCAGAGCCAGAGACAGCTACGAGTTCTCTTCTGGGAAAGGATTACAATGAGAATCACCATTTCCATAGACAAAAGGCACTTTTCTTTGTGTAAAGCAAAATCATCATGCCAGTTTATAAAGGACAGTCAAATAATGTTCAGAAGGCTCTAATAGCAGTAACACTAATTTCTAATGTGTCTTAACCAACGTAACATTTGCCATCTTGATCCCAGATTTTCCTCTTTCATTTGCATACAGCATGAGAGAGGAGCTATCCTCAACATAAGATTTGCTAAGTAAAGAACAATCCTTGGAAGTTGCCTACCAGCTCTGGGCAGTCTCTTTAAGCACAGCTTGTAGCAATTCACGGTGTGGTAGCACAGTTCTTTCACTACTGCAGCAACCAGTGCTGCAGGTGCAGATGATGTTTCAGTAGGTTTTGTGGCACTCCAAGACATTTTGAAGATTTGGAACCAAGAAAGCTAACCCAAAAAGCAGCCATCCTCACTTAAACAATGATACTTTGATGCTTTATCCTGGCTTTCCATTTTTTTTTCAGCTTCTCAATTTTACATTCATTCACTTTACATTTACATTTGATGTCACACAGAAAAAAGACAACGCATTATCTGAATATTTGAGGAAATAATTTGAAGCAAATTAAATATCCCTTCCAGCACCTCAACCCACTGCCTAAATAATGATAAAAAAACACGTAGTCCTTATAGTTACAGAGAACATACAAAATATTCTGCCACAAGCCTATGCCAATAGCATTGTCGTACTGCCCCACTGCACAGAACAAAAATAGCTGCCAAGGCCTACTGAAGGCATAGGGAAATCTGCAGCTCTTTCTGCAGATCTAAGTCACATCCTCTCCTCCCAGGGAGAAACAGCACTTGTTTCACATTAGCCAAAACCCCAGCTATCCATCTGCCATATAGCAGTGCCACTGCTGGTCAAAGAACGGTCCAAGTCTCCATCAGGTTCTATCAGTTCAGAGGTCTGCAGTACTACATGTCGTTCCCAAATGTTAAACAGGCTTGGAAATAGTCTGTACTAACCTCCAAGCTAGAAATAATTTTAGCATAAGCTTCCTGCCATGACAAGTCTTACATAGACATGAAAGAAATTGAATTAATACTATTGCTTAGTAAAACGAAGACAAAGACAAGAAAAGTTAGGGCTACTCACACAGATAATGTGCAAGACACTGAACAGAAAAGAACGGAGCATATGCACACGCGTTTCTAGAAAAAAATTCATCTTTTTAGTTGTACAGCGTAGTTATTACAAGAGATTGGGCTCCGATACCATTACAGACACGCAACTGACTTCTAAAAGCGCTCTGAAGGGCAAAGATCTGCCAACACACTGACCATTTTTTCTGTAACTTGGCACACTGGAATTCATAGAGCCTGAGTAAGACTGAGGAGCAGGAGATCTGTCTTAAGAAAGGATAAAACATGAAGCATAATGAAATATCCAGAAGTTGGAGAAATTCAGAATATGAGCAAGTCCCTCCCCAACTGTTCCTTAAGTTTTTCTACAATTTTTCTTATTTACAGTCATTTGCTATGCATGAGTGCAAACAGTCAGGACCTATTTGTTCTGTAAGTGCTCACACTAAAGCTAATAGGTAAGAATAAGTTGGTAGTAATAAGATCACACTTTCTAGCTTCCCAAAATAAAAGGACTGTGTTTTACTATGTTCTACACAACTTCAGTTTATTTTCTTTATTTAACCTGCCACCTACACAGTAAATCCCTTAATCAAATGCCAACAGGATTTCCTGTGAATTAAGTGACCGGTTTAGTATGATGCAAGGCTTGTTAAAGCTTGACTAGGGCCTGACTGAGAACAGAGTCACTGAAATTGCCTCTGCTCTCAAGAAAATTACACCAGTCATGCAAGCTTCTGGTTAATTTCCATGTCCTCTGCTATCTTTTCATCAGAGCACTTTAATTTGGCTATGGGAAACATATTCCTAGCCAGACTTTCATTAAATTCATCTGCTACTAAACATCCAAACTAAGCAATTCTGTTTTCAAACATGCTCAATAAACAGATATCTCTAATAAGGGAAAAAGGTATCCTTCATCTACTGGAAATAAAATTTGCTCTTGCAAATGTGGACACTTACATTTAAGGATGGGTTATAAATTCCTAACTCATCCTTAATTAACATCCTTGATTAACAGTCACAGAACATCTCAGTCTCCATCAAGTGACTAAAGCTCTTTTTTTTTTTTTTGGTGAAAGACTAAAATGTCTTGCAAATAAACTTATGGTGAAGCTCAACTACTATATATCTTTCATTACAGGACAAGTGGTTGACAGACCAGAGTAAGAACTACATTTCCTATGCCAAAATTACATTTTAAAGTTCTTGCAACTACATATTTCCAATTTTATGCTATATTGAGAAATGCAAGCCTAAAACTCCACTTCAGTTGTCTTTACTGTAACAACTTTTCTCCTGGTATTTATAGAGGTTGAATAATTATTTACTGCCCAGGAAAGCTTATCTAGTTCTTTAATGTTTAATTCTGGATACTCATCGCTGCTCCAACAGTATGCTCACTGTATCTCATTGCTGCAGCTTATTTTAAATGAATCCTGACATCACTACTAATTTATTTTTAATGAGTTTAAAATTGCTTCTCAGTTTAATGACCTAAAGCTTGCATTTTTGCTCTCCTCTCTCAATAGGATTCTTCCAAATTTGTCATTTAAGTGCTCTTGTTTGCACTTTACTCTCCAGTCCTCAGTTAGTGTCCTTCCCCTCATACCCATTCATATTAAAAGTCTCATAAATATGCTCAATTTTATTGCTAAATATTTATGTCAGTAACTGAAGTAAATGCTGAAGGATAAAATACATATCTGACGAGCTAAACACAGAAAAGAGCTGACATGCAAAAGGTAAATTTAAAGGTTCTGGAAACGTTATCCTAATTCTTCTACCTCTGCAGTGTTTTTAAAGCCTGCATAGTAAGAGGTTTGGAAACTAACCAACACTGAAAAGTCATCTCTATATGTGTAGAAACATATATTGTTATCAGTAAGTTAAGAGGAACAAATGGCTACGTTTGGAGTTTTTATCCATGTTGACAGAAAACTCCAAGAACATCATTAAAATATCATGTCTATCAATACATTATCAAATATCAGAAATATCCATCCATTCACCAGAGTGCAGCTTGTCAAACTGACAATCTGAAAAGTGCAGAACAAGCATTGAAGATAGCAATTCACACTTTTTAAAAACATTTTCTCAAATGTTGCAGACTGCTAACTTGACACATTCTCTCCTCCAGGCTGCAGCTAAATGTTCAGAGAGCAAAAATTCCTTTTTTTTTTTCTTCGTCCAACTTAAATGTGCACAATGGGGCAGACTCAAGCTCAGCAAGGCCACACACAGTGCAAAGCTAGAAGTGGATGTTACGCTACCAGAGGGCTGTGCCGACATTCGGAGGAGCCCCATGAGCTGCAGACAGGGGCAGAGGCAAATCTCATGAGACCCAAAGGGAAACGTGATATGCAGCTTTCACATTTCAATTGAAATCCTGCATTTCACATGAAGGAAGAGCAATCCTATGCACCAGCACAGTCTGGGGACAAGTCAGAAGAGGCCACATGAGAACTGCTGTGTGTAGTGTTGGCTCCCCTACACTACAGAGATGTGCAGATACCAGAGGGAGGCCAGTGACCTCAGCACCTCTCATCCAGGTATGATTCCATCAGTTTGTATTGAGGGCAGTAGGATGACAAACATACTCTCGTGTATATAGGATGACGAACGTACTCTTCTTAGTGGTGTCTAGTGATTGGACAAGAGATAACGAGCACAGACTAAAATACAGAAAAATACTTAAATCAAAAGATGTGTTTTCTATAAGGTTTATCGAAGATAACCAGAAAGGCTGTAGATTCTGTGAGAGCTAGAGATATTTGTGTCAGATGGGACCCAGCCCTGACCAACCAGCTCTAGATGACCCTGGCTTGCTGTGCAGGTCAGAACAGATAATCTCCAAGGGTCTTTTCCAGCTGCAACCATTTTGTGATTTCCATGACATAATAATGTAGAATGGCTAGAATAAAAACCAATGTAAGTGGATAGGGTAGCACAATTGGTTCATACAAGAGAACTACTGCAGACATTTGAAGTGTAGCAAATAGAACTGATAAAAACTACCACTGCTCTAGGGACCACTTCACTGGTCCAAGTCAAAGATGACAGCAGGTCCATGCAGAGTGTGGCTGCTCTTCTGAAGCAAAACCAAACCAGGGTCCACTTCCAACACTGCACACTATGAGGAGTCCAAACTCAGTAAGTCAGCAAGTAAAGCAACTGCAAGGTAAGAACTAATTCACAGTGAAGCGACAGGGTACGCACATGGCCAACCTCCTAAGCACAGAAGAAACCCAGGCAAATCCTGCATCTCGTTTGCTCTTTATCTAATTTCTGAGTGGTTAACTCAGTATGTACATCCTGTGTGAGTATCTATTAGATCAATCCTTCCAAGGCACGGGAAACTCAAACCTGTTCATATAAAAAAAATCTCTGTAAGAAGTGCTCTTGGATTCAGAGATGAGGAATATATTACCACTTACCTAGTTCTAACTTATAAACTCATTAAACATACAACAGAAGTAGCACTTGAGTCTTACACTATCCAGTCCAGGTCTTAACAGTACACACGTTATTTAGTTTCTTATCAGAGCACTTTCAAGAAAGTGAAAGGAAAACAGAGAAGCACAAAAGATACACAGATATCACTGTCCTTTTGTGCTACACAATCTCATGTGTAGAGAACAAAACCTGTTCAGCTGCAAAGGTTATTTTAATGCATCACTAGGAAGGAGGAAACTAAATCTGTCATTCGTTTTCTCATGTCCTTACCTGAAAAGAGAGAGTTGAAACAGAAAACATGTTTCAAAAGCACTAAAAAAGTCTTAGGAACCTATATCACTTGACATGACTAAACAAGTTGTAACACTTCTGTTTTATCATTAAGCGTAAGCAGAAAGAAAACCCATAAAAGCTTGCTAATCTGTTTCATAGCTTTCACATTAAAATAAGAATTGTCCTAAACTACAGTACAGAAAAAGTTCAGGGAAAGAGGACTTGCTTCATCTCATGTTTCTGAAGACACGTGAATGAATCAAAAAAGCACACAAATAAGGCAAAAATAACAGACATTTGTGAGTATAGCCACTGACAGATGTGGAAGAATCAAATTTTCTTCTCTTTTGAAATAGTGTCAATTCCACTATCAAACCTTAACCATCTGTTCTCTTCACACATGTTCCTATCCTCAGAGAGAAAGCCTCTGTGCTGCTAATCTTTCTCTTCCCACAACCTTTTTATATTCCCAACTCCTTGTTCAAAAATGATAAAAAGTTGGTCTCAAAAACTCTGTTTCTGTCAAATTCTAATTAAAACTGACAGTATAAAAAAACAGTAGCACCATGTACACACTTATTTTTGAACACCAGAGGAAAAAGCAACACTCCTGATCTCGCCTTCCCACCGGTTTCATAACGGCATGTTTCTATTTAAAGAATAAGCTTGCATAAAAGCTCTGTTTTGTAACATTTTAGAAATAACAAGCTTAGAATGGTGATAAAGAAAGACCCAACATACTACAAAGCCAAGACATAGCATTGATTCTAAAAATATGGAGCTTGGGTCTTCTTTAAGAAACCTGTCTACAAATATTTCAGCTACAGCTACTATGGTTTGAATTTTAGCTAAGTGGAGTTATGAACAGTCTGAAGTGCTGATTATATCAAGTTTAGAAGACATGAACATAATAATTAAGCTTTCTTACAAACATTTTAAAACAAATGTGTGAAGAGGCTTCACTAAGAACATATCAGAAAAAAACAGATAACACAAATAAGATTAGAGCATTATATAATGTATTCTCTAAGTATATTATGAGAATGCATTCAGGTCAAGAGCATCCAGACAGCCTTATCTTGCCTTTAAAGACACTGCTGTACTCTAACTTGCTTGAATTGCTTTTCCTTTTCCAATGTTTCAAGAAAATCTTTAAGATGCAAGTAGAATCACAACAGCATTCTCTCATCCAGATAGTGTATTTCCAAATATTTGCATATCCTCAGTTATAGGAGCTCAGAGGAAAATTAAACTCTCAACCAGAGGTTTGCAAGACCAGAAGTATTCTTGCATCAGAACTATTAGAATGACATTCTACAAGCAAAACCTTGATGCTTGGCTTGTAAGTATCTGTGTTCCCAGAGCAAGGAGCTAATTAAAACAGCAGTCAACAAGTGGATCTACTCAGACACACTAATGAACATTGATTAAGTTGAAAGGCAAATGCACTAAGCAGCAGAAACTGTTGAGGAACAGAAACTTACCTAAGTTCAAGAAGTCTGAGCTGGAAGAAGGTGGAAGCGGTGTGGAAGTAAATGTATTTGATGTAGATGTTGAATTTGGATTAAGGAAATCTCCAAAGAGGTCCGGACCAGACAGGGTTGGATTCTCAGGACTTGATGACATTGTGAATGGATCAAAAGGATCAACTATAAGAGGTAAAAAGCATATGGTAAGTTTTAGAATTAATGAAATGGCAGGAGAAAAAAAAAACAAAAAAACACCCACTTTAATCCCTGGGGTGACAGACAAGAAGCACAGTTTTTGTCAGCAACTGAACCAGTCTTCTGAGTTTTTTTATGGCAAAAAGCCTGCACCTTACCAGCCCCCCAACACTGGCACTTTCATGCTCTGAAAGCATCCCAGAAAAGCTGAGCATCTCTGAAAAGCTATACACAACAACTCTCTTCAAACATAAATTCCTACCAAGGCTGCATACATCCAACCACATCATTAGCTGCCTTCATGCAAGATACTATAAGTTTGAGTGATAAGTTACATACAAACAAAAAAGTTGCAGTTGTTTCTACAGTAGTCTATAGCGTCAAAACTACCAAGGAATTCAAACAAAAGACACTACACTACTAAATTCGAGCAAAACATCCATACTACCATTCTGACTCATAGGCATTGGTGAACCTGGGGCTGAAAAGGCGCCAACTCAAGAAGGAAAGCTAGCAGAGGCAGGGCTTTGAGCAGCTCCCTGCTGACCACAGTGAGGAAAACTAATTGGAGGAGTATTTATAGTCAGCATTGAGTAACACGTGACAGTCAGACAGAGGCAAGGCTCCAGATCCTCCCCTTCCTGCTGCCCTCTAGGTTCAAATCCTCCAAAGCCCAGGGACTCTTGCCAGGTTCACACAAAAGCTGCAGAGGAAGGAATAATCCTGCTGTGGGGTGCTCTGCTGCCTACTGCATCAAGCAGTAATGGACACACAGCAATCAGCAACACTTCCAATAAACCCTGGATTCCCATTTATACAAGTTCTTATGCTGCAGCACTGCATGTGTACAACAGCTCTGGTGCAAGGGTGATGCTAAAAAAGAAATGCCACAGGTACCAGGTATTCCTACTTCTCGGCTGAGCCCGTGCAGAGGTAGAGCAAGACATATATGTGACTACTGATCAAGGTTTTGGGGCAGTTCACCAAATAATTTAAAGAAAGTTAAGGAGATACAGGATCTCCTCTACAGACTTTTACCTATATGAAAAATAAGATTGATTTCCACAGTGACTGTAGTGGCAAAGAATTCAATAGAAATAATTTAGAAGACAGAAATACTAGAAATCACATAAATACTTCAAAATACACCTATACTTGGATTAAAGCTGTTGATTCAAGTGTATTACCTCCAAACCAAAAAACCTACTAAACTACTATGTCCTCTTTAAAACCTTACTGTAGTGCTACAGGTAGAACTGCTATGCCTCAAGTTCAACGTATTTCTGAGAAGAATAGCACCTCTGAATTAAAAACATTACTTTAAAGGGCAGTCAAGGTAGTAGAGTAACATTCTCTTTCATGATAAAGACCTGCCACCACAATTAGTAAGAGTAATAAGAAAACAGCTTTCCATAGCAGTATTATCCCACTGGTCTAAATAGTAATCTATAGGATTTCCAGCTACCTAGAAGACTTACCCGATTAACATATCCAAAAATCCCACACAGTCATTTGATCTACACACCATATCTAAAACTAATTAATTCTATGTAAAACGCAAGAATACAGCGGGTCTTGATAATTTCTGTGTTTTAGCAAGAGACATTTCTACACCTGGATCTAAAAAGATCAAGCATATTTGACACGTGCACAGAAAAGCTACTGATTTTAAGTGCAGTGAATTTCCTTGAAACTCAAGACCTGAGATTTGCTTGTCTATACTATCAGAGTATACTTACAACAAATAAAACACATAGAGCAGCTTTCTCACTGTCAAACCTATTTCTCCAAAAATTGTCTCTACAAGCCTGAAGCCCATGAACAGTTTAACATATAACAAATTGTTTCATGCAGTAAATAAGCTGTTCAACTCACATTCTTGCTACAGACAGACATGTATTCAGTGTACATATCAAAATACGATAATCCTTTTGAGTGCAATGCAAACTGTTTTTAAATATTAGCCAGTTTAAGAGTTCTGATGATGAATTTACATACCAGAAGACACGGCTGCTGCTGCTGACATCGTCTGTGCAGTAACTGGCTGCTGAGACTGACTACTGAAGAAGAAATCTGTTCCTTCTCCTAGGAGATCTCCAGTGGACTCTTTGGAAATCTGTGATGTGCTGCCCACAAAAAGGTTGTTCAATAAGTCTGCATTGCTTGGTGAAGGATTTATTTCTGAGACGGGCTGCTTCTGTTCTGGTGATACATCAGAGTCCAGTCCCAGTAAATCGACATTCTCTTCAGCCACAGGTTTTTGTAACTGAGCAGATGGTGTTTCAAAATTGGCTTCAAAAAGCAACTCTCCTTCTGGAGTAGTTGAGTCTTTTTCATCAGTTACTGCCCTTTCTTCTCCCGAAAACGTAGGGAATTCCTCATCAGAAGGATCGCTCTCCTCCCTGTCATCAGTTAGCTGAACATGATCGTTTCTGGATGAGTTGTCTTCTACTCCACTTTCTGAACTTTTTCCATCTTGAATGAAAATATAATAGTTTTAGATTACCAGGATTCTCCTGCCAACTAGGTGAGGATAGGCTTAATGTGGTGAGGATTACGTGATACCAAGCTTTTATTCTCAAAGCTTATCACACAAGAGCTAAGGGGGAAAACTAACCATTGCTTCTCACATCTGCATAAAGCAGGAAAATTCAGCTCATCCATTCCACTAGCTAAGATTAGCCAAGTAAACAGAGAAATTCTCCAGGTAAAAGCTTCTCAAGCCTACACATGAAAAACTGACACATACTCAAAAATGATTACTCTATCAAATTAAAAAATAAGCCACTGTGGAAGGGAAGCTATTATGAATATTTTCAGAATGTGGCTAATTCAGATATGTTCCTCACTGTGCTATTCCATGATTAGCTTAAAAATCTTCATTCACTGCTGCTCTGATACCATTCAATGGCAACATATGCGTTACTACAATTTCTCTATTATAGGTTAGTCCCTTTTTTCCAGACCAATCTGGACCCTTTCAGTCTTGTTGGCTACCTTGTTGTCCCCATTATACCACCAGTCCTAAGTGGAACTGTTGAAATGTGAGGTTTCCTTGCAAATATTTGCAGCTGGCATTTTTGTCAAAACAGTAAAGATTTGCTGAGCATGTACAGGTTTGTACAATATACAAGTCAATCTAACATTTATCCAAATGATACTGAGCATTTACTAAGCTTCAGAGCTCGTTTTTAAGTGGTTTACTTCCCATGATCTAGTGAAATAGTGACTTTGCCTTTGACATGTAAGACAGTTAAAGGAAGAACTGCAGAATCCTTTGGAAGGCATATAGTAAGTACAGCATTAAAAAACAGAAACAACAAAAAAGACTTACTTCATTGAAGAAGACTTACCTTTCCAGTCCAGAGAATGGAAGAAGTTGTTTGCCTCAGTACTGCTGCTGTGTGGAGATTCTGTCTCGGTGGGAATGCTTTCTGAAGACTGCTCCAGTTGGGATGCTTCTGCCTCGTACTGTGCAGTTGAACCTGGTTGTCTAGGCAGCTCTGGTTTCCCTAGGAGATTAGATTTTAATCAGGATCCTCACAAAGATACTTGTAACAAACCCAATCCTGGTCATCCTTGATTGTACAAGAGCTGGTTTCTGACTTGCATACTCAAACTACGATGACAAAACATCTCTCTCAAAGCAGTTATTACTCTATAAAGGCAGAACACTTTAGGTTGAAAAGTTAGAATTAACAACACCCTTAATATAAAAGCCTCCTTCTAACTGCCACAGGAAGAAATCAGACTGAAAACAAAACCCTTGGGCATTCTACCTACATTTAAGAGACTTTATCCAGCTCCTTTAGTTGCGTTTAATCATTAACAGCCCATTTGTATCCCGCTTTCTAAATTAGGCAGGAAGATCTGTGAGCAAAGTATGCAGCAATTTAAGTGAAGGAACAGAACATGAGAGAAGTGTGAATGTAGCTACAGAAAGTACACTGAGCACAAGGCCAGAAAACATAAGAGCTGTTAACAAGCATTTCAGAAGAGTTGAGTAATACACCATGTGTGCACTTAACCCCTCTTCATCTCTCTTCTTTGACAATCAGATATGAAGTCACTCTTTCATTAAGTTATGTTAAGTTCTTACTTCCCAGAAGGGAAGATATCTTCACTGAAAGATAAAGACTCTCTGAATTTATGAGGGAGTCCATTAATTTAGAAGGAATAGGATGTATGCCTGGGAGAAAGCTCTTTGTCTAAATTTAAGTATCAGACTAGCAAGCCTCTTTCTATATCATCTACTTGTAACTTTTAAGAAATGCTTTTAAAACTACTTTTCAACAATAGAAAGGCCAGGGCTAATGAAATAATGCAAGTTTATTGAATGCATGAGTTTTTTTAAGGAGAGTTTTATAAAATATGTTCATAGGCCAGGAAGAAGCAGGTGCTATTGCCTCCTCTCAACTGCCAGTAAGATCTGTTTTGAATGGAACATGCATGAAGCCCTTGCATTTCTAAATCAACAAGAGAGTGACTTATTTAAAAGAAAGACAAAAAAAAACCTCCAATATTAAAGATCCCTGTTTTCAGCGAAATACCTTGACTTTAGTGAGCTCAGTTCTGTTCACAATTATTTTTAAATATAAGCTAAAAAGGGCATGTCTGAACCATAGTGCAAGCACAGCAAGATATATCCTGCTAAAAAGATAAAGTGGCAGCAGCAGCTAGAGAACACCAAGGGAAATGGAACTAAAGCATATGGAACTAAAAAAGTAAGATCCTATGTATTGTGCCCAAGAAAAAATCACCACAATATCATGCATTTTAAACCAGCACCATAGAGTCTTAATGAAATGTTTAAAAAAAAGAGAGAAAAAGATAGACATTAATTGGAATTAATAGGCCATCTACAGATGAAGAATAGAACATCTAATACGAAATTCTCCTAGGCAACATGAGATACAGATGAGCAATTAACAGCAACATTAATTATATGTAAGAAAAATTTTAATAAAAAACATTTTTAAGACCAAGACTATTTTGAAAATGGTCACTTTCAAGTGAAGTGATAATGCCAATTTATCTGGAGAACTCTCTTAAAACATTCCTCTTCAAATTCTGGCTGCCTGTTCTATTTGTTAAAATCTCTCCAAACAGAATTTTATGAACTTTAAAACAGGCAAATTTTAAAAGTATAGATAAAACATTAATCCAATAATCCATTACTGAACAATAATTTATATTCCTTTTTATAATGAAAGTATTTGAAGTGATATTTACAAAAAACACTTTTGTAGTCTGACATTGGAAGGAATGTCAGTAAACAAAACACACCCTCAAACACTAAATGCATTAGAAAATATGTTCTTTGGATTTTTAAAGAGAGTCAGTACCAAATTTTGATAAAATTTCTTGTTGTTCCTCCCTGGTGGAGAAAAGGATCTTGGGATTCAGTCCCTTGATGTTCATGTTATCCCACGGGGGCTGTTCACAGCTAGGTCTATCTCTGGGCTCCACCTCCACTTCCAGATTGACTTGAAACAAATCAGGATATTTTTCTTGAATGTCACAAGCATCCAGATCATACCTGCAGAGACAGATACAAGTAGATTGAAACTACTACCTAACTAGACTAAATTCATTGCAATCCAAGAAATAATTTTTATGGAATTACTTTAAGGCTTAAGACATGTCATATTTGTTAACTTTCTCAAAAAATTAACAGGCAGTATTAGTAAAGAAAATATTTTTGTATTGTGAAAAAATGTTTCATCGAGATGAGAAAAAAAACAACAGGAATCATCTTGTTGCAATGGGTTTCCCAATTTGGAAGACGGTCAAGTTTGAAAGAAAAGCCCCAAACTGTCTACAAAATGGCATCAACATACTTGGCAAATTTCACTGTGGTGGCATTTCGGGGCACAAAACCTGTGTGGAACTGAATCTGGAACATCTTCATAGAAGCCATCTGTTAGAAACAAGAAACACAGTGGAAGCCCAGGATTCACCAGGCACAGTGCTTTGCTTTTGATACAAAATATTTTCAATGTTTAAATATGTTAAAACTGTTATCTTTCCTACAATTTAAAATAACCTCCCAACTGAAATCTTGAGTGTGGTTTGAATGCAGATAAGGACAGAAGGTAAGTCTAAATCTAAAATGTAATATTCACAAAGGTTTATATTGCTTAAATATTCTCCACAAACCAAAGGTTTGAACTAAACACCTTTTCCATATTAACTTCATGGAGGCTAAAGAGTGTTGAGTAGTTCTAGATCCTGCTTTAAAAGATGGAACTCTATGATCTGTCCATTACACTTTTCAGAACAAAGTGGGCGATCTCAAGCTCTTATTTTTAAAAGGATACTGAAAGATGTACAAGGACTACTTTCCTGCTTTTTTTTTCCCTTCCTGCCCTTTGCAATGTCAAGCCAGGTACTTGGCTCCACAGAGTTAATGCTTCTCCAAACTGATTAATTATAACAAAACTTTCCCAACTCTACCACTAACAACAAAAAAAATCTTTCCATATCTCATCAACATGGCAGGCAACTCAGAAAATGCTACCATATGAGACACAAACCTATGCAGGAAACACAAGTCACGTGAAATGTTCTTCCAAGTCCTTGCAATGCAAGAGATAAGGTGACCAGTAAGCAGGACCTAGTAAAATTTACTTCTGAAAGCTTTCATTGTACCATGAAGTGTCACTCCAAGCGACTGGAGTACCGTTGCTTTCTTACGGACAACCCAGCACACATGCAGAACAACTCTGAAGGCTACAAAAGCATTAAATCACACATCATATCCAACAGTTTCCCCATCACAGTTAAGTTTCCTAAGGACAAATAATCAAAAGTGAGGATGATGAAAAAGAAGTTACTTCTATATGCGACTAAGTTGCATGTTCTGTAAGAACGAACTGTGCTACTTGAATGGGCCCTCTTCAGACCTTCAAGCCATGCCTAGACTCTATTAAATCAGGGCCTTTGGACCCCGAGGCTCATTTTGATGCCACTCACCCGCACATCTCAATTGGTACTCCACTGTGCCGCTTCAATGGCAGAGGACCATACAGCATCAGGTGAAATCTTCTCAAAGGACCTCGCACTGAGATGTATGCAAGTGGCTGCACTGATTCCAGTTTAGCAGTTTAAAATCCTGTCTTGCTCAAGACTTGCATGTTGTCCTGAAGCCAGCTTTACCTACTCGTTGAGAAGTGACATGAACAGCCTAACACACTCTCTCTGTCACCCCCAAATCCACCTCTGCTGGGCTAGTATTAAAAGCAGGCACCAGTTCTCTCAGGCACTTTGAAGGTCTCCTCACTCATGATGGATTCCCACAGGCTACCAGAAGAGAGAATTAAGACTCTACACAGCAGGAAGGAAAGTTTTCCCTCCCAGTTTTCGCTTTGCTTGGCATTTAGCTCAGCAAAGATTCCACTCCCCAGAGTAGGCCTGACTCAGAAACTCTGCTGAATTTACTGCTAAAGCCTCTTGGCTAAGTCAACTCAGCCATAAGCCCAAGAGAAGGAATTAAAAATCAGTTTCTCTGATCACTCTATCCCTATTCTGAAATATATCTGAATACTTAAACACACTATTCAATCAGCTTGTTTAATCCTTTGACACACAAAGTACCTCCTAGACAAACTAAATCCTCTCAAATTAACTGCAAGTGTTACGTGTTCATGGTGGTATCTCCATTAGAGTTTGAAAAAAAACCACTTCAGAGAGTAGTTTTGACAAAATCCAAGTATACTGTATATTGTTTCAAAGCTCCAAACCAAGATCACAAAACACCGTTCAACAAGCAGCTGAGAAACTTATCATCTGTCCCAGATAATGAATAAATGCCAGAGAAATCAAATGTTCAACTTAGAATCATAGAATCGTAGAATGCCCAAGGTTGGAAGGGACCTCAGAGGTCGAGTCCAACCCCCCTGCACACACAGGTCACCTAGAGCACGTGGCACAGGGCTGCATCCAAGCGGGTTTTAAAGATCTCCAAAGAAGGAGACTCCACAACCTCTCTGGGCAGCCTGTGCCAGGGCTCTGGCATCCTCACTGTCAAGAAGTGTTTCCTTAAGTTCCTGTGGAACTTTTGGTGCCTCAGTTTGTGACCGTTCCCTCTAGTCCTATCCCTGCCCACCACTGAAAAGAGGCCGCCCCCTCCTCCTCACTGCCTCCCTTGAGGTATTTATACACGCTGATCAGGTCCCCCCTCAGCCTCCTCTTCTCCAGACTGAACAGGCCCAGCTCCCTCAGCCTTTGCTCACAGGGCAGATGTTCCAGGCCCCTGATCATCCTGGTAGCCCTGYGCTGGACTCTCTCCAGCAGCTCCACATCCCTCTTGTACTGAACTTATCAAAGAAACAGACATTAAGAATACACAAAGACAAGAAAATCTTGTTTCTGCCCAGTTGTGCACTTCCTTTGCTGCTGATCTTGATCCATGCAATGGTTATTTTTGTGAAGAATCACCTCAYTGATCTTCCACTTTAAAAGGTACTGAAAGAATTGTTTTGCAGCACTTTCCAGGGACATCAAACCYGGAATTTTTGCAACATGACAAGACTTGATATTTGCTTTCCGCATCTGTGTTAGTAATGGACATTTGTTTGTAAATGTTTTACCAAAATGTGTAGAAACTACAAGAATCCTTGGATCAAACTGTATAATGCTCAAAGCTACCTTAAAATTTAAGGAAAAATTTCCCTTTCCATCTTCTACACAGATTTCCAGGTTTCATCTTGTCTGCATTATAGAGAAAGCCATGCTTATTTTTAGAAATTTGAGGAGAAGSTTTCTAAGTTTTTGTGGTCTAACAAAACATGAGCATTTTTAGTTGAATTAAAAATGAAACAAAAAACACTCTCCTTCGGAAAATGAAGGCCAGTAAGAAAACAGACTATAAGAAAAACCTACAAACTGGTTCTACAAATAGGGTACAATACCACAAGGAGTTTCCTAGCCTGCTTTGTACACGCAGTCCTCAGAATCCCACTTTTCCCTTGAGCAATATTTCCCCTCCAGCTGTGGTTTGTATATACAGGATATACACAATATAGAAACATTTATCTGTTATGCAACTTAAAATCACTTTCTAGGGAAAGTGCTAGAGGTTTTCCAAGCATAAATGATCAACACTAATGCAATAATCCCAGAAATGCTTACCAAAACACTTATGTGCACAACGCTAAGAGAATGGACATATATATCAGGCCTGAAAAAGTTGAATCCAAGCACATGAAAACCTGAGATATTTACTCGAGCAAACAATAGTAAATAAAGCCATATACTTAATGAGATCACAAATGCAGTTATATTCAAATTTCAGCAATAAGTAATGGCCTGCAAAAGGGTTTTGTAAAGTTTGTCATTACCTTGGCCTGCAGTCTGCCTCCCAGTGTTGACCTGGCATGATAAATCACAATGAGAACATCCCCTTGGACTGTTATACCTAGTGGAATTATTGCTTTGCCATCTTCAATTTTGAACTCCCTGGAGGAGAAATAAAAAAAAAAAATGTATCAACAGTTAAGGAAATTTGGTGGCTTTTTAAAAAAAATATGTTATCTGTTTAGTTAGCTTCCTTCAAACCATCCAATATATTACAGATAAAAGATGAAAAGAAATAAAATAACACAATGTTCCAAAAGAATGGTGCAGAGAACCAGTAGCTGCCTACATGTATACTGCTGTGAGTAATTCTTAGGTCAGGGCTCCCTTAGGGACAGTGGTACAGGAAAAGCATAAAGGAGAAATTTGTATTTGAATGCCAAAGGACTATTCCTGTCCCTCTGCAAATTTGTAACATTGGGCTTGAATTTAAAGGGAAACTAGCAGGGTTTTGAGGTTCTATCACTCTTTCCCTTTTACCCTTTCTTTGACTGAAACATGAAGTTCAGTTTCAGCAGTGTTGATACCTCCCTAACAACATGAACCTTCATAGTTTACACCATAGTTTAGTTTACGCTTAAAAATAAAATCTTGTTCATGTGTCTCCCAATGCCCACAGTACAACATTTCTCCTCACTATAATCTGTACTTTTGCTGGGGACATACCCAACAGCTTTTACAACTGCTTTATCTCTTGCCTGTGGTTTATCATTCAGAATCAGCCGAATCAATCGCTAGACTTCGGAGCTTTTCCATGCAGAGTTAACAATTAAAGAGGCTTCGCTTTCTGCTCAACTGGCAAATCAAAAAACATGCTTTCTCCTCACACTGAGGACTCTGTAGTTAAGTTGCTTCAGAAGAACTCAACATGCTTTTTCAGAGAGGATCACAACCTGTACTTACTTCATTTTGTCGTATTCCTGGGAGGTGGTGGTCACTCTCTCATCCCCCACGTACACCTCACAAAAAGGCCTGCAGCCATTGCGCTGCTTACTGAAGAGAGGAACTGGGGTCATGGTGATGGACTTGACCACGATGGGTTTGCTGTGAGGAATAATGGGCTCCTCGGCCATCATGTCACACATGTATTCAATGTACCTGCCAAAACCAGAGGCACTCACTTTAACAGGGACAAAAATCATAAAAATGGGTGACACAGCAATTATTTTTGTAATATTCAGCCACTGAGCAGCACATGATAACAACAAACAGTGGGAACACTGAACAGCACTTCTGGGAAACAGACATTTTAAAATCTGACAGAAATGCACAAAACAATGAAATAGAAACGCCAAAAAATACTGCATTCCTAACCAATCCCTACTTTAAGGCTGGCAATGGCATTTTTGCCTAAAATACCATTCATTAAATTACAGCAAAAGGGACATACTCTCCACAAGATTGGATAGAATACATTTATGAACTCATCTGCACTTGCATTCCACCTTCCAGAGTCAACTCCAGTCTTGACTTTATTTTCTTAGCTTTGCATTTACTTACTAGACAAACTAGCTATTCTTTCCAAAAGTTCTACAACATCTCACTAGGAAAATTATTTTCTTTCATTTTACACATACTGGACCCAGTCCTGATGCTAGTAATTCAAAGCTTCCAATAGGTATTCTACATGCAAGGATAGCTGCAATTATCTTCCTAAATTTGAGTTATGCAGGAAAGGCACCATTAAGCGTATTCAAAGGGAGCTGTACAACAGTATAACCTGTCATTCATACTTCACTAATCCTTATTTCTCTCCTTTTCTGAATCTTTCTGCAGAAAGACCTTCATTACTAGTAACTAAGAGTTCATTACTTTAAGATCTGGCAGGGTACATCAAATTAAATAATTGTCTTAAAACACTTCAGCACATACAAAAGTCATCTCTGCATGCACTTAAAAAGCCCAAAAATATTCTCTTATATACTAAACAGGAATTACATTGTTACTCTTTCCATACAACTCTTTCCACAGACTGATACCATACCTTTTATGAGAAGGCCAAATGCCAGGAGGACAGCGTTTCATACTGAACATATAAACTGCAGCCTCAGCAGTTGTGAAGAGACGACAGAAACATAGAAAAGAACAAACTACAACAGCAGATGCTGCTCTTCCATCCTACAAAAAAATTGCAGTTTTGTTATTAAACCTAGTAGAAAAAAGCATTATAGAAGTTACGGAAGAATACACTGCCTGCATTATGGAATGAAGTCCAACACCTTGTGCTATCAGATTTGAAATGTGAATGTATAAAGTTTTCATTTTATTTCAAAAATATACCAAAGACTGTAAAATTGATCTGCTTGCTCAGATATCAGTAATTACTTTAGCTTAGTATGGTCTAAAGTGTTCAATTTGACTGCACTACCTTACCACTTACCATCAGTTTAATGCACTACCTTACTGTCATTAATACCCACTTTCAAGTTGCTGCCAGAGGCTATATCTCTATGTTTCTCTTGGTCAACAACCCATTGGTTTCTTCTACAAGTGCTAAGATGTAAAAGAACTGAGCCACACTGAAGACTATGCAGATCTTGTGACTAAAGCTGCATTAGACTAAATACTTTTCAGGGAAGTATAACAGGTAGCATCAAATTTACCAAATCAAATCTGTAGCAACAAATCTACAGATGGGCTGAGTTACACTTGCCAAATTCAGCTCTATCCTCCAGATTCAGAAGTCAGGAGAAGGTTGACAGGACTTCACTCGAATTTTCTTTGCCAGCCAGCAAAGAAATGACTACAGAAAGAAAAAGTTAACATATCAACACTCTCTATGTGTCTGGAAATAGGAAAGAAGGAAATGCTCTTCCTAGCTTGTTTTAATAGTAATTTCCTTCACAGCTAACCACTAAAAAGGTCTGCAACCACTGGAGCAGCCAGACCCTTAAAAAGTAAATCAGCAAATACTTATTACTGTTGGCATAAGCCCTACTTATGCAAGTCTTAACTTGAAATAATACTGAGGTTGGCCCTGCTCTGAGCATCAGACCCTAATGGTCTCTAGAAGTCCCTTCAAACCCAAATTTGTCTGTTTTGTAGGAACTAGATCCTGTCTTCCAGTTATTATCACACAGAAACAGTCCCTACCCTGAGAAGCCTCCTCTTTAGGACAAGACACTTACGGGTACAAGGAAAGAATAAAACAACACTGACCAGCACGACAAGCAGCGACTTAAGTGCACTAGCACTGCAAAGACACTCCCAAATAAAAACACCACATGGAACGGAGAAAAATCATAGCAGAATTCAACTGGAAAATCACAGCAAATCCTTTGCTCATGATACCACAGGAAGATATTTAAGATGTTGAAGACTTCAGTCAGAACTACAGCACTCAAAATGTTAAGAATATTATGTACTGGTAAACAAATCCACTGACAGAAACTTGAATTTCAGAAAGCAGCTAGATTCAACAAAGGAACCAAAAGAAACTACGGCAAGGACAGAAGGCAAAAGAGCAAGAATTCCAATTTTTCCTTTTATGTTTTTAGAGGATGATGGACTCTGGATATTTAAAATAAACAATCTTCAGGCCAGAACAATCACTAAGGCAGCAATAAAAAACAACTATACAAAAATCAGAACAGATAGATTTTAAGTTTATATTTTTTCCTGAAGCCCTAAAAAGCCAGATGAAATCTGTGGCTGACCTGTTTTGAAAAGAAACAGCTTTCAGAAAAGAAATTAAATGAACCCAGATTACTCTCCACACAAGGAATACTATATTCAAAGGTCAAATGCAAGTATCTGAAACAATTAGCATGTTTAAACATTTATCAAGTTTAAGTTCTGTCATTAAGTTCCATCAAAATAATCCTATACTGACATCTTGCATGACAAAGCAATACAAGTTTTTCAAGAATGACCATGACCTCGAATAATTATGCAGAGCAAAATACTATTGCAGGTGTCCAGAAGCTACTCTAGGAGCCAGATATCTAGAATACGTCCTAAAATATGAGCAGAAACTGATAGCAGTTTTGGGCAATCCAGAAAGTCTTAACTCTAGCTGAAGGGAGGCAATACTTTGCTGTTTAGGACTTGTTTTTAACAATTTGTTCACAAGTAGTTTATAAATCAAATTACAATGCAAAGACTTGGCAATTCACTCCATTAATATAAGTTTCAATCTCAAACAGAAAATCAGAAATCCCTCATCTGCTTCCACATCCCTGTTCCTCACACTGAATTTGTTCTTTACAGGAAGAAGTTTCCAAAGTGTATTTGCTACCTCAGCTACCTAAAGCATACTCTCTCCCCCAGTCTCTATTGTTTTCAATAGATTTTAAATCCAAAGTAACTTCCAGCTAGGCAAATCCATATCATTGCAAGTTCCATTCATCTCTAGTAGATCTGGTGTATGCCCTTTGTCTCGCATCTGGCACAAAACTGTTTCTGCATGTGCAAACGCACAGGCTACACAGACAGGAAGAGATTACTTAAAGACAAAATTGATGCAAACCGCTTTTCTAAACACATTATCATGGAATACTCTCCAAGTCCCAGCACAGAAAGTAATGCTCATAAACTGAGCGGTCACTAGTATCCTATATCACTAGTATCCTAAAGACGGACTGAGCAAAACATTTCAAACTTAAAACAACTACTTACAAGGCAATGCACAATGCAAACATTTTTCTGATCTTGTTTCAACCACAAATGCATGTTCTTGCATATGCTATAAAGATTCTGAAGATTGGGTGCTCTTCTTGCTGGCCAGCCACATTCTGAAACCTGCAATGAGAAATACAAATGAGAAACTTACATATTCACACACTACAAACTGCATATATAACATGCAATTTTACACTTCAACACTAATCTCAGGAATAAATGAAGATATATGTTCAAGAAGTTTCAGAGTGTAAGAAGCTCTTTATTAGCATCAAGCATAACAAATCAGTCCTGCTTGCAGTTCGCTACACTGTGAATATCAACAACTCAAATCTAATCATTTCTTGTTCAAGAAAAGGATTTCAGCTAGGGAAACAAAACAGCTTTCCACTTAATTCATATACATTAAAATAAAACGTTCTTATATTTGTCCTTTATTCAAAGAAAAGTTTTATAATTGAATAATATTCTTTCTGTAATTAGTGTTAAAAAGCCTAGGAAATAATAAAACTTCTCACAGTTAGGATAGCTACTTTCTTAAAACTGGCTGCCAGGTAAAGATGCAATATATTAAACCTGATTCTAGAGTTTTCAAAATTCCGAGTGGATATTTTGCTAGTCTCATAGAACAAGTCTTTTTTTTTTCCTCTTTCTAACCAGGACCACAATTAGAAAATGTTTTGCTATGAGCAACATATTTTCTTACCAGACTGACGGGTATAAAGGTTGTTCTAAAATTATTACCTGAACTGACTAGTGTCACTCCTATTCAAGATTACCACCACAGCAACTCAGAAAAAAGCTGCAAGAAAGTTTTTCATAGTTACTTGCCATTTCCTACTATCCTACTATTGCAGTGTTTTTGTTGCTGCTGTTCGTTTTTTTTTCCTTTTTGACTTTTTTGATTACAAGTGCTTCTCCTTGCCAGAAATTTAAGTCAAACATTCTACTATTAATACAATCAAGAGGAATCAAATAAAAGTAAGTAGCCACTTTCATTCTTTCTCACCTGAGCTTTCAGTGTGGGGTTGATTAATTCAGTATTACATTATCCATATAATCCAGCAGCACTACAGCTATGAACTAGAAATTTCTCTGGAAAACAGATGTATTCAAAAAGCAAGCAGAACTGTTGTTTTACAGTTTGCATTCTGCTCAGACTAGATTTGCCATTCAGTGTATACCACAAATTTTTAGTCTTTGGCTGTGCTGCAAGCTCAAAACATTCTGGTCTGCCAGCCCAGTTTATTAGCAGAAGCTGTATTGCCAAACTAATGTCATTTTGCTGATATCTTTAGCTACATACAGCCTCCTCCTATAAAATAAGGCTAAGGAATAATTCTGGCAGTAAGGGGCCTGAGGTAGCCTCTAGACCAATTTGTTCCAAGCAGGGTCAGCTATGAGGTCGGAAGGATGAGGGTTTTTCTTTCCAACTGGAAAAAGGGGCTGAAAACTGCACAACTCTGGTCAAGCTGTTCCAAAACTGGAACAGACTTCAAAACTAGCATCAACATTAATTAAGGATAAACAAAAATATTCAAAAAGTTCCATTAAGATACTGCATAACAGAAATGAACACGCTACTACTTTCTGAATGCCTACTAGGCAGAATATCATGGTTTTAAGTATTTCAGAACCCATTACCCCGACCAACTTTATTAGGCTTGCCAGAATTGTCTTTTACAGACAGCAGAGATATACAAGGCTTCCTTAGCTTCCTATACTACTGCTCTCATCTGGCATAGGTCACTAAAAAATTAAGTAGAAGTTAATGAGTATTGCTTATTTGGACTATCTGGATTTCAAACATGCAGTGAGAAAACTTCTCACCATGTACACAGTAAGAGCTTATTTTCCAAGTAAAATCTTTGGTTTACTAGAGACCATGAAGTTTTGTGGAAGTTTTCAAATCCCCTCAGCCAACAACAGTGGCAAGAGCCTACAGTGGTTTTGACAGTTATCATATCCTATTACCTTTCAGCTACAGCTAACCTAAACAAAGAGCAGGAAACAAAAATAAATAACTCATAACCTATAAGTCAAATACCCTGAAAGGCCAGAAGAACTTCAAATCAGGGCAGATATATAGTAACATTCATATTACTTTACACTGTGCCAGTCAACAGGAATATCATGAATATCAGTGCACTGGCACCTCTGCCATGCACATCTCCAGGGTGAACTTTTTTCCAGATAGAAATTAAGAGGATTCACAAATCAGAGCTGACCAGCAACCTACAACTGAGCAATTATTGCAAAAAAGAATAATTTATTAAAAAAAAATCACACATCACCTGCAGTGGGCATTTGAGAACTCTAACTCTAAGGAGCACAAGTGAACGTTTTTCTTATTCCAAAATAAAGGCAGGTCTCCTGCATGATCAGCCTTTGCCTCCATGTTCTCTGGCAACTAGATTAAGCCCTGATATTGAAACAGCAATTGTTTTTCAGGTGTCTTTTCCCTCAGTTTGTGAGGAAGCCAAGAAAAGGTTATAAAGCCAAGAAAAGACTGAATAGAAAGCAACTGAATAGAAATTGAAAGCACTGCATAGAATACATTAAGCACTGAATAGAATACATTAAACACTTTCCAGCTTGACAAGTTTAAGTAAATTCCAATAACTGAAGTAATGCCAATAAAGGCCCTACAAGACAAGGTCCAAGAAGGGTTGTGTGAGCAAGTAATGCTTATTATTATTACTGGCTCCTCTGCTCAGTTAACACCATCACAAAGGGCACAATCACTGCAGACTGTTTTAACAGGGTCCACGTTAGGCCTCAGATATACAGGTCATAACTATACCAGTCTGCACTTACAGGACAGCTAAGACGGGTTAAGCAGAGATGGATACTGAAATTCAGGCCCTTAACAAGCTGCCCCAAAGCCTGACACCAAACTGGGAAAGTATTTTAGTGTTTTGTAATTTTATTATTAGAGAATTGCCCAGGAAGACACCTGCAAGCAAAAGCAAGTTCAGCCAAGCTACAGGCAGCAGCTACAAGCAGAGCTAAGCTGCTCACTTCAGCAGCACTCCAGGAATGAGCTGCATGAGAGTCAAGAAAGACGCAGCCAAGCAAAGACAAAGTCCAGCAAACAGGATATGAAATCAGTCCCTAAAAGGGTACTACCTCAGGAAGAGGAAAATCTCTGAACGTAGAATATCAAAATCGTTTTTTAGAATTGAGCTACATTAAATCTGAAATAGACAAGAAAAGTTCTGGGTACCTACACATTTTATCAAAGACATCAGTAGCCTGGAAAGCAGCCCTTCATCAGTAAGATAAAGATTTGCCTTTAATAGGCAAGTTTGCTTGTAAGCAAAGGTAAGTGGAATAGGTTAGTCTTTGCCCTTAGGTTTGTAGTTGCTCTTTCATGAACTTCGATTGTGCAACCTACTTCAACAAATCACACAACAGGAAATTGGACATTATGTTGAAAGACCATTTATAGGAAAGCACACAAAAAACTATACACACCCTATTATGGAATCTTGAAGGCCTGTATGTTCTTGGCGAAAGATTGTACACCGCATAGTGCCCAGGGTGTTTAGAGTCTAAACATAACCGCACATCTTCTATGTTATTTTTGATGGCAGACTCTACACCTTCAGCTGGAAAGGACATCACTGAAAACAGAACATCACCAGGTAAGGTATTCACTTTTCATGTATTAAAAATAATCAGAGATTATTCGTAAGACAGACATGCTACCATACCAGCAATTCTGGAAGTGATGTATGATATATCCAAGTCTCCTTTTGCATAACTGAAATAAGACACATGGGAATTAATATATGGAAATATAACTGTCCAGCTGTAAATCCAAAACCCAGGTCTCACACTCCACCCACCACTTATTTCTTCCACCTGAGAACTGCTCCTCACAGCTCAGGGTAGTAGCAGAAGGAAACTGAGAAAACATTCACCTGCATCCATCACCACAAAACTACCTTTCAGAATGTTATACATGTGAATTTAATATTTAAATCTTTCAAATAGCTCCTACTCCTACTCAATGGTTCATTAAAATATGAAAACAAGTGACTTCTCAGGCAACCTGAAGACATTTCATTTCTGGGAAGGTATCGGTTTTAAAGTCTAGTAAGAAGACACTAACATTTTACCTGGAACATGCCTTAAGGCTTAAAAAATGAAGATTTATTGAAAGATTATATATGAACCACGTTAGCCCTCCCATACTACTATTTGGGTCAGTTAGCCATGCATCTCATTTTCCTATTTCAGTAAATATTCATTAAGTATCAAATTGTTACATATATCTGCCAACTTCAAGCAAGAAAACATGCATATCATTCTAAATACTAAAACGTTTTGTATCAAGTTCAAGATTCATCTCCTATGATAGTCTGAGAACAAAGAATAATTATACCTTCAATGCTGTAACACAAATGTTAAGGTAGCAAGCTGACACGGATAGCAAAAATCAAGGTCTTCCTACTCAATCCTTTAGAATTGTTTCAGATACTGATGCTTTGTTATCAATACCATTATCTACAGCTTCGCTTTCTGTATTTACCTAAATTAAACATGACAGTATTAGGAGCATCTCTGTTATACACTAGGATCTCACTGTACAAAGCTGCAGAAAAGCTCCAGACACTAAACATATCACTGAAAAATAGATCACTAATATACAGCATGACCAGGTTAAACATGCTATTTGGCAGAAAATGTTCACTTGTAAGCAAACAAGTTTCAGAATGTTAGTGCTTAGTTAAAATATGGGTCACAAAAACTGCAAAATTTAGGTTTTACAAAATTCCAAACTCTTTATCGTTGAATTCCTTATATTCCTTGGCTTCATTATGAAAATTGCAGAGTTACTTCAGTATTGAGACTGAACCACTATTACTATTATTTCTACTAGACTTTGGTAACTAAGAAGCTGCTTTAAATGACAGGAAAACAAAAATATGCATAGTAATTCTGCAGTCTACTCATAATACTTATTTGCATTCCCTCGCACTTCAAGATGTAGTCCTGTAACTAAATCTGTAAAAGCTTTTGCAGCTTTTCTCTTTACTTGTAGACCTTCTGCATTGGAATATCAAGAGTGCAAACACACATTTTGAATGTGTGAAAGGATACACTTTAAAGTATACTCCAAATATTAAGATAAGCAGGAAACTATCATGACAATTTTGAGTCATTTTATGATGTTATTGGATTATTTCAAGTTCTTTTGTAATGAAAAATTAAATGACAACTGAAAAAAATTACTAAATCCTATTTTGCAATGTAAATATCTGAATGAAATCATTAGTTTTAGCTATATGACAAATCTCTTCGCCGTGTAAAAAAAGGTTGGCGATATCAATCTTGCCAGATTACTGTATTTAAACACTACACCTAACAGCAAACAAAAATAATGCCAACGAATTAGAACTAAGGTCACAAAACAAGCTTTTTAAAAAAAAATAAAATAGAGCTCCAAACCAAAACCAAGTTAATAAACAATTACCTTCATAAGCTACTCAGCGCTAATCAATATCTACATATGCAACTTTTTGTAATGTAACAGAACATTTGGTAAGTTCAACAGGGCATACTAAAAATACCTGCTAACTAAAAAAAACAGTACTTTGATCCATGACAGAGGCTCGGATCTATCCACTATCACAATTAACTCATGATACTGGATAAACGATTTCAGCTACATATTGGACTTCAAATATTTATTTTCTACTCAGTTTTAAATCATGTCATGAGACCCCAGACAGCACTACAGAGTTTCACATTCCAACTCTCATATTTTCTTTCTTTTCCAAAAAAAAGGAGACTCTAAGTCAATTGCAGAGATTTCTGAGCAGAAGTGGCACCATAAACAGTAACTCACAGGATATGACAGAACTAGATGGTTATTCCAGTCAAAGAGAAGAGCAGGTGAACTTTTCAGACAGCAAGGACTAATCTACATTTCATAAATGACAAGATCAGCTCTGTTTGGTTATACAGTAACTGTTTTATTCATTCCTTACTGCATTAACCACAGAAAAAAATAAACTGCAAAAAAAAAAAAAAAGTGACAGAAAACAGCAACACAGCAGATGAAATTCCAAAGAACTATACTTCTGCAACCGTTAAGGAAGAAACTGCTTGCAAGACCAGGAAGAGGAAGTTTCTTCAATAACTTCCTGATGGAGGCATAAAAAATGCAGCAAGTCATGCAGTGACAAAAGCACCATGAGGAGTTGGATGCAAGAATACTTCAGAAATATTATACAACCAAAATACCCATGTTAACTTCAGGAGCAAAAGAGTAATATTATATGGAAGATGCAATAGGAAAGTAGAGCTCAACTTCAAAGGAGCGAAAGAGGAATGTAAGAGTTCTCTCACAAGAAGGATAAGTCTTTAACTTCTCTACTACAAAACTTAGAGAAAAAAAAGTAACCAAAACTGGCCAAACTTAAGAAATTAACTGCCTTCAAGTTTACAAACAGTATAACTATCCATCAAGGAATCTGTAGAATATTTGCATTTCCAAGTTTTACCACTCTAGTTTATAACCAGGCATAACAAAAGGAACAAAAGTAAGACTGAAGAGAAGGTGAATAAAATCTTAGGAGGATTCTTCAGAAGTCAATAGGAGATGAGGAACAGAGCCTTTCAAGACAAAAATACAAAAAAAAATGGAGAGCACTTAGGGTGCACCTTTTGATGTAACTTCATATATTGGAATAAGAACATGGAAAGAGAATGTGTTCCATATATCAGAAAGAGAACAGAAGATGGAAAGCAAAGCATTTGAATGAGGCACTTTTCCCAAATGAAAAACTGAAAATTGAGCCCTATCCCCCAGAAAAGAAAAACTTCACCTGGCCATAACATTCACCAGGTGGAGATAAATACATTCACATTTAATTCCTTCCCTTTCGATTTGCAGTGAAAAAGCAGACATCTTAACACTCCAGAGAGGAGCTCTGCAGCCCAGAAAGAAAGAACCACACAAATACCAGGTAATAAAAAATGTAGATTTTATCAACCACAGTGTACCACAATGCTTCAAAGGCAGAGCAAACCAGCTGTATTTATCCTAAGCTCTGTACTGTCCACATAGTGCCTTGCTATACCCAGACAGGACTGACTTCAGGCATGGTACTCCCTGAGTTGCACGGACTGAATTAGCACAAACAGCACAAACTTCAAGCCTTTAACATAGGCTATGGGTTTATTACAATTTTGCTAAGCTGCTATTAAGATACTGTTTTCAACCACACCGCATTCATCCCTTTCTCCTCCCCATCTTCTTTTGAGATCATGTGGATGCTTCAGGGTAGACAACTGAGAAAAAGTCTTATGCTGTCAATTACTCTTATCTGTATAACATTTAAGTACAAAAACAAAGCTGCATTCACATTGAAGATCTTTAAAACAGAATACCTTGGCTTTCTATTGAAGGAAACACAAGCTTCAACAGAAACAGGCTAAACAGAACAGCTAAAAAGCACCTGAAGTGGACTCAAGTGTGAGAACTAGAACTCTCTGATCATTAAAAACCTCTTAGAGGAGCACAATAAACATCCTTTCCTTCTCTTCTGGGGATCTATATCTACTAATTGATTCATTCTCCTCCATAAGAGTTTCCTTCTACGGCACCCTCTGCTCCTGCTCCCTCTCCCAAGGTTTTCACTACCTGTAAAAACCAGAGCAGGCAGTAGGGAAAGCTCTGCTTATGAATAAGCAATGTTTTCAGTGCTAGAATACTACTGCTACTATAACTTATATATAAATATTTTTCATAAAATCTCAGTGCCAGTGCAAACTAACAGCTTTTACAGTGTATGTTTGGAAAGGATTGCCGCATTTGATCATTTCTGCAATAACCTCTTAACCCTCCATTCAAAACTCTTACCAGAACAATTTATTTTATTTTATTTTTACTCACTTGGCCACAGACTGGATAACTTTAGAAGATGTATCCTTAATATTAGTGAAGAATCGCTCTGTTCCACCTCTCAGGATATCAAAGAATCCTCCATAAGTTTGGTCACATTCAGCAACGGTCAGGCCTAGAGCAGTTAAATAAAAATAATTTTTCTTTAACATAAGTTAAATCCCAGAATGGGCTCCATAATAATGCAAGCTACCTACAAAGCCATAACTAAACAGACATACAGATGAAGCTCTACTTTGAGGTTTATAGTTCTAAAAAAATCTTAACAGTGACCTATACAAAAATGGCATTGGCATGTCCAAGAAGTACTAATCAACTATTTATTTAATAGAATGCTTGCATTAATATAAAATTTCTGAAGCTAAGGAATTTATTTTATACTGACTGTGCAGCAACATACATTTTTATATCAATTACTTAAAAGGCGATCTATTTAAGCAACTCCACCCTAGAGACACTTTAATACAACAATTCAGAAGCAAGGTGGTATAATTAAGTTGCATTTTAAACAGACTCCTAGATAGTAGCACCTTGTTGATATGACTGCATAAAAAGACTATTTGATCATTGACAAAAAAGATGACTAAATCTCTTGAACACAGTCCTATGGGGAAGTTGGATACTTCCACAGAAACTGATGCACAAACATTTCCACTATAAACATTATATTACTTACAAACAGTATAAACTATTTATAAACAGTATGAAATATAAACATACTATTTTAAAATTTGTCTGTCATATGCTTTCTCTCAACATCAATTCAGCAGACGAACCACACTGACAGAAAATTCATCATGAATTACTGCCTCAGCATCTTCCATACTAACTGAAATGTTAACGCTGCACTTCAAATTCACACATAGTATGTATGATAAGATGCAGTTAGAAACAGCCTTTTCAATTAGTAGGAAGTTAGATGCAAGTAAGCCTGTCTAGCTTTTTATCTTGCTATAATAAATGTAAATGTTTTCATCTGACTGAACGCTGGGACACCCACGTTTTGTCAGCTTTTACTCATGTAATTCTGAAGATGACTTGTGGTTGAATCAGTGCTAGTCCAGCTACTGCTTTTCCATCAGCTGGCACCCTGGCCTCCCTCCTCACCACTGTTGTCCTTTGTGCCTGCACTTCCTTAAACGCTCCCTGCACAACTCTCTCATCACCAGCTGTGCAGACTATTCTGTGCAGAATTAGGCAGTAATGAGTGGACACTGAGTTGAGCTGCAGCTGCTTCTTCCCACCTCACTGGGCTTTACACACGTTCTTCTTTTGGAAATGTAAAAAATAGACAGCTTTAGAGCAACAATTAGCAAAAATGCTCCCAATTATCAGTGGATTCGAAAATTATTTTGAGGGAGGAGAAACCATGGGGAGTCAGGGGAAGGAGGGAGCCTGGTCCCCAGACAACTACAAAAGTATTGCTCTCTTATACAAGCTTACAGTAGACTAAAGTAAATACACTATCAGGTCAGTGATGTCAATGATCCATAGCTGACTACAGTCATACTCAAAGCCCCTGCATTTACTTTTGCATTTTGCTTTTCACCATCTCAAGCATAAGACACCAACAACTGTTTCAGCATAAAGCACATTTAATGATAAGTGGCTCTGTTTGCAAAGCAAACAAAAAAGGTGCCTCTTTCCTATAACAGAGATTCAACCTGTTACAGAAATACAGAATAAATGTTTATCTCAGTAATTTCACCCTCAGAATAACAAGGCTTCAATTGAAATACAGCACCTCTCAGAAGACGAACAGCCCAAATTTAACTCCTCAAATTTACCTGTTAGCATTATACATTTTCAAGTATCATATAGTTGAGTCAGTTTTGTATTTAAAATAAGTCACTTTTTGTTCTTCTGGTATAAGAATTTAAAGTTTCTCTGCAGCTCTTGTGCTTAATAGCTCAAGCTGTTTTCATCAAGTTTTGATTCACTTATTTTCCCCTCTTATGGTAAATAATGCTCATTGGTTTCATTTACTTTACATCAGGAAACTAAACACTATGCTTTCTGGCCATGAACTTGAAAAAATCCTATCTGCATGTATGAGCCTACAGGCAAGCTTTGAGGATAAGACAGGGTTAGAAACAAAGCTGAATGTAAAATAAAACTATGTAAATACAGAGGTAGCTTGCAGTTGTGCAAAATGTCTATTGAAAACTTCACTTTTCTTCCTGTAAAACAGATGTTTTTGGTTCTATGCAATCTGAGACACCTTTCAGCACACACCTGCATTGTACATGTTGTTGAGCTGTCCTGCGGGCTTGGAGCTCTGTGAAACTGACGTCCCAGATGTCCGAGGCTGCGCATTGTTTCCATAGCCTCCATTCTGTTCCAGGAGCTGTGGGGATTCATGTCCATTATGAGGATTTTCATACTGACTCAGTCAATTATTATGCTTTACAAGCTGCTACCACTTGGTGCAAACAAGCATACTGCCAGTTACTGAGTCTCAGGAGAAAGCCAGGAACTTAAATACTAATTGATTCACTCCCAGTCCTGTGCATATTTAGCATCACTATAAGCACCTAAATGAGTATCATTTTGACAGAGCCCTCACCTTATTTTTCAGTGCAAGACACGATTAAAGGCAGCATGTCAAATTGAGCACTTACTCAGTGAAGAATGACCCAATACCCAGACAATTCAGTCAGGAAGAAATATGAACTACAGCCTGTTTCCTTTAATGTCACACAAACGCTGTGCTTTTTTTTAAAAAAATCTATTTTCAAAGATCCTATTGGCAATATAAAACCAATTCAACTAAGTCACAAAACTAGCTGGTGATAATCTTCCAAAGGCTGCCAAGGAATGAAATCCCTACTCAAACATCAATTACTAAAGTGATATTGGGTAAGAAAGGTGAAAAAGGAGACAATCAGTAACATCCCTTATAATATTTACTTACCTCAGTGATAGGAGATTTAGGGTTAACATTCCTAGCTGCTGCAATCTCCTGCAATTGGTTCACAAGTTCTGTTATTGACAACCTCTCCTCTGGATTCACCTTCAAAGTGCAACCTAAAAAGGCATATGCATATAGATGATGCAGACATTTTAAGATATACCTTTCAGAGTTTTTTTCCTGCAGAAATTATTTTCTTCAGTATACTTTAATGCAAAATGAGAACTCAAACAAGTACAACAATCAATTTCATATCACGTATCACTGTCAAAAAAAATGATCAGTGTACAAAGATCTTTTGTGTGTAAGGACGTTTCACACCAAATATTCTAAAGATCTCTTAATGAACAACAATAGAAGCAACTTTGTATCTATACTCAATATGGCTGGAGTTGGTGACAGCCTTTTGGCACTGTAATGCTCCTAGTAATGTATTTCTAGTTTAAATAAAAATTTATTTCCAAGGCAGGCTCAAAGAGCCACAATGAAACAAACACTAATGATTCCTATGGCCTAACCATACCTTAAGATAGTTCATAACATTAGAAATAGTTTTATTAGTTAATAGTTAATTAACTAATTATTAATACTAATTAGTTAAGGATTAGTTAATAAAAGTTAGGCTTCCTTTAACGTTTGTTAAGGAATTTTGACTGAAATGAAGAAGTATCAGCTAACCTTTTCACTTCCACATTAGTAAGCAGCACTTAACGTTTACTATCACTATACTGTAAGTGCAAAGACATCTTGAATTAAGTAATAAACTTACGAATGAGGTCATGAAACACCGAATAGCGGGTGTCATTCTGTGGAATTACGTATTTCCCATTGACTATGCGAAGTTTAGCTCCATCTTCAAATGGATGCTGCCTGAAGCATAGCAAGTACAGGATACAGCCCAGCGCCTACACAGAAATAAAGGTAGAAATACTTATCTCAAGCAATAAAACTTAAAGCTGAAACTTAAATAATGAAACTGATTAAGCTTCCTAAAACTGCTCACATATCAAAGGTTTCAGTCTCCAACTGACAAGTCATTTAACTCTACAGATACTCCTTGTGCTTTAGAGATCAGTTTCATAGTTTGAAATAATTAGTCTCCATTTTTCTGAGAACAAAACACTTACTGACACATTCATTTATTTGGCTTAACAATTACAATATCTCTCAGCAACACAGCTTTCACAAATAGGCTTCGGGACAGAGTGGTTTCTTTACGCTTTCTGTTGCAAACAGTTTTATTATGCTAAATGGTTACATTTCCATTTTATAAATTCTATAGTATATAGATACAAAAACTCCTGAAATACTGAACATATTTCTGTAATGCTAAATTCTAGAATATTAATGCTCTATCCCTTGCACCTTTCAATTATTTTGTCTGGCACTGAAAATAAAGGTTCAGTATAATCCACATCTGTTTCCTGAAAACTGCTGCTCCAATTAAAAGTACAAAATCTCTTGTTTCTAACCACCAAAGACCATTGCAGCCTAAACTATTCTTGTAAACCCAAGAGCTCAAGTTTATTTTGGAACTCAGTCTGATTTTAATGCCCCACAGTCACCACTGTAGGCAAAACGTTTACCCCAGTTTATTTTAATTACATCATATGACAAATTTGTGAAGACTTTTTCTTATATTAATTATACTACAGGTAGACAAGAGAAATACTGAATATATAGGAAACTCAGAAAAGCATCAAAAAGAGTGGTTAAAAACCAAGAACTTGTGGAGTAATTTTTACAGAAAAAAAAGAATGCAAAAATGGGTTTGTAATTACATTGCTAATATGAGTTAAATTATAAAAATACCTAAATTCATTTGAACGTAAAAAAAGCCTACTGAACTACTGGAAATTGTGTTCAAATGTAAGAGCATTGGTGACAAGTAATGGAAAAAGAGAATCTTTCAAAGAGGAAATGGAAAAGGAATATTATTTCTTCCCTCCTTATCCGAGGAAGGTGCTTTGTGGTGGTTGTTTTTGTTATAATGCTTGTGACTTATTTTCCCTCAGACCAGCAGATAGGAAGCAGACTTAATACGAAGAAAAAATTTTATGCTATGACTGCATGAATATTCCAAATAATTTTCTGAATGAAATTAAACAGTACTGAATCTACAGAGAGATGGTCATTCATAATTAAGAGCTACAACGTCTTACAAAGCAGTATCTTACAAAGAATTAGCAAGGAGCATAAATTTGCTCTTAAACATATTTCAAAAAACACATATTTCCAGAAACCTGGAAGAGTAGAAATACATGAAAGAACTTGCAAAATAAAGGTAATTCAGATGAAAAATATATGACAAGCTAAATTGTCATGTAATTTCAGCTGAATTTCATATATTTCAGTTCCTTTCCAATTAACAATTTCCTGAACTGAAACTAATTGTTTTCAAAGTTTATTTTTCCTGATAATCTCACAACTTAAGTTAAAAACCTAGAGAAAATAATTCAGTAAATCAAAGATTTTTTTTTAATCTAGTCGAACTCCTGACCGAGGAATCTCTATAGTTAGTAATTAACATTTCATCTATGATGCTGTTCTACATAAAATATTCCTGTCTTCTTTGTATTTTTAAGGCTCACACAATGACAAGCACACAGATGGTTACACGAGTGCTACTTGCTTCATGTATTTTCTTGCAAAAATGTTTTGTTTATGCTAACTACAAGCTACACATCAGTTATTCTTCCTGAGATGGTGTCACATTCTACTGCCAAATACTTTGCGTGTTTTCACTGAACCCAGAGAATAAAGGAAAAAAACACAAGTTCCAAGGAAAACACTGTAAATGCCAAAAAGGCAAAAATGTCCCCTGACACCTAATGAGTCAGCAGAAGGTAATTGGCATGTAAGTACGAACAGATGCAGATTCTAAAAAAAAAAAATCCTTTTGGTTAATGTCTTTTTTATAAATTAAGTTCTGTATTTGTGCTTTATTGATGTGATTTTTTGTTCGGATTTCTAGGATTAAGGCATGTGAGGTAACAATTTTCAGAAAAACTCTTGATGTTTCTCCACACACCAGAAGAAAAGAGCTTATAGTTGCAGATGTGCAAAAGCATTATTGGTACCTTATCACCAATTTAAAAAGCTGTATGGAGTTATATGCCAAATATGACTGTTTTCACACCTCCTCAATTTTTTGCCCTTTGATACAAAAAGTCAAGCTCTCAATACAGCCAAGCTGGCAAAACACATACAGTTGTAAGGCTTGACACCTTGTAGAAGTCAAGTAGTTAACTAAAAATACCCAAGTGTAATGTTTCTGGGCTGCACTTCAGTACGATTTCAGTATTACTTAATTAAAAAAAGTAATAGAGGCTTCTCGGTGCGATCAATCCTTATATCTGGCAATTGCATTTTTCTCTGAATCTTAACATGTGTAAATAAACACACTATGTAGACAAGCAATTTTAATTGAACTTGGCAAATAGTGGTTCCAATACTACATGAAGGGCACAGTATGAAATGAATTTGAATTTAAAGAGCAAAATTAATAAGTCTTTGTGGCGGCAAGCTCCATCTAACAACAGTTCAGCATATTTTTCAGTCAAATTAAAACAAGGAAAAAATTCTATCCTTCAATTTACTATTTAGACATACAACTCATACTATTTAAATTTTGATATAAGAAATAGACTATCCTCCATTTCTTTTGTTCTGGGGGTTTAATGTTTAATTAGCAAATTAAAATCAAAAGACCACAAATTCATCTTCGTTATGACAACAGCTACTACACCTCACAAAAAGAAAAATTTCTTACCCAAATGTCTTGTTTTTCACCAATTGGAAAATTGGAATACAAGTCTATCATCTCTGGTGCCCTATACATTGGTGTGGTATTCCTTGTAATCTGTAGAAGACAGAATTTCTTTAAGTAGAAGCTTGAATAATATGTTCTAACGATACTTAGCTACAGAAACAACTGCCAATAAAAATGGACAGCACTAACACTGAAAGTTAATGTGAGAAATATTTGTGAAGGCAGAACAGAGGCTTTGACGGTGCTGGATAAAGGTTATAGGAGTCTTAATTGCAATTAGATAGCATGGTGATCTTTAAAACCACTAGGGTCTACATATGGCAAAACTGGGACAAATACAGACACATAATAAAGCAAAATAAGAATTCAGGATCTAGTAAGTGCTTCAATTCCTCATTACACTTAATGATAGCACGGACAAATCCTAAGATTAGGACTATATTCATAGTAATCCCCAAAGAAGAGACCTTTTTCTAATATCCTTTTACATACCACTATGAAAACTCCAGAAACTACTGGATTGCTCTCCAAGGATTCCAAGAAAGGAGAAAGACTCATTGTAGAGATTGCACACACAAGAATTTAAATACTACTGTACTTCTCCATACTCAAAAAAATCTGAGTCTAGTTGATGTATTGTATTAGATTTACCAGTATTACTTTCATAACTAAGCACACATGTAAACAGCTTTGCAAAATAGGAGAGTGTTTAATATTGTCAGTGTTATCGTAGCAACACAGCAGTACTTTCTGTTCATGCCCTATTCAGTAAGTTTACTGCTTCATGAAACATCATCTAGCTAACAAAACTGGATCAGAAGTGGAGATCACTTGGATATAACCAACTTCCTAAGAGCACAAATAAGAAAGGCCTTAACTACTGCATCACATTTGATTATTTCTACCAAATGCAGAATGAGCAGTACTCGAGTTGCTGCAGTTCATATACGCAGACAGAGCACTAGCTAAGACTGAATAATGGAAATACACAAACAAAAAAGATTTATGCTACATGCTGTGGCCAAAAAAATCCTTAGTCATTTCAGAGGTCCCTAAATTAGGCCAAGATCAGATTAATGGTAACAACAATGGAACCCATTGTAAGTATTTTAGAATTTCAGAATCAAACATATTTGAAAATTCAGACCTCTTCTTCAGCCAACGCTCTCTTCTGTGCAGACCAGTTGTAGTCAGGATAGTAAGCTACAGTCGTAGCACTACCAAAGTCACAAAGTTTAATTGTCCCTTGATTACTAATAAGCAAGTTTTCCACCTGAGGAAAGAGGTAGAATAATAAATTGAAAACATCTCATTTCTGAACATTAAGAAACATGCTTTTAAATGTCAATTCACTTCTGCATATACAAACACAGGTTAATACTCTATCTTAGCACAGAATATTTGTGTTTACAAGGCCCTAAGTATTTCAAACAACACTATACATTAAATACACAGGATAGCAATACAATCAATTTTTATAGGATGCATTCAAAACACGAACAGCAGGAAGCATCAAGGACAGAGCAGGTAAACCTCCCCTAAAATAAGTATCTTATTAGTACCCAACTATAAACTAGTTTTCCAAAACATTTGCATAAGCACAATCTTGGAATCCAGACTTTACCATGCACAAAATTGAATGTTGTTAGCTTAATCACTGTGGGATTGAGGTTAGGGCTTCTGCAGACACAAATTACGTAGGAAGGTACCAGTATCAGGCTGCTGGAACGGACCAGAAAGGAGTAACCATTACCCTACGAGGAGACAGACACCAGCTATCTGAACACCAGGCACCATCAGATGGTTCATCTTCATACCATGCCTTTCCTTCTTCCTAAAAAGGTGCTATTCCTGGACTAGTACTGAAGAACATAGAGCAGGGGGAGAGAAGAGTAGGCACTGGGCCTACTGGGGTCCTAACCACACAACATCTGAAAAGATAGATAGATAGATAGATAGACAGACAGACAGATGTGCTCTGGGTGTCCCTGCTGGAGCAGGGGGATCGAATTAGATGATGTCTAGAGGTGCCTTCCAACCTCAACCATCCTGTGATTCTGTGATCTCCACCTGAAGTCAGGTAAAGGGATGTGTTTAAAGGATCACTGGTAATATTTCTATACCGCACTTCAGAGCTGGCCATCTTTCTTTCCTTCTCAAAATCATCCGATCTGATTTGTCAGTTTAATAACTTTTACTTACCAGGTAGTCATTCAACATTCAATTAAAACACTAAAGAAAATGATCATGCTAATGAATGAAAAAATGCTCAAAGAAGATCAAGCTGCAGTTGCACACACACGCTCATTCCTCTCTGTGCAACTTTGAGACAGTTTGCTACAATTTTAAAACATTTTGGCTGATTATTCAAATTCTAACAGGCAAAATGATCTGTGCTATGCAGTAAATAGCTTATCCTGAAGTGGTAAATTTCAGAGAATTAGAATATCAGAAGCACCAGATTCTACACTAGTTTGCCTCTAGTTAGTTTGGAATTCTTACAATTCTAATTAGCTGGGTTCTTAGAATGCTATAAATCTTAGGTGCCAACTTTACTCAAAGATATTCAGGAAAAAAGCTATCTGCACTGACAAGAGAAGGCAAAAATAGCACAGAAACAGCCATCATTCTGATGTTGAAATTGCTTTCAGATGTACTATGCAGCTTTAGGAATCTTAATATCTTTAATCAACATAATTTATAAAAAAGTCTGCAACATTTAAAAAACAGTTTTTTTTATACAGGACATATTTACCATGTATGCCTAGAACTTTACCTCCGTATACATACAACTTTTGACTTACTTTCTATGCTGCTGACCTAAATCCAGGTTCCTGGAAAGTATACTGCAGCTAAGTGACTGTGCAGGAATACTATCTGACTCCTTACTACAGGAAGATCTCTGCCTATTGCAGTACAACCACCATCATTCCATCTTCCTTTGAGGTCTCTAGCATGAAAACAGCATGAAACCAACATGAATCTAAATCACTGCCTCTTTCCATCTCTCTCTCTGCAGGAAAAAAAAAATTAAAAAGTCTTTGAATTACAGCTCTAGCTCAACTACAACGCACCAGACATCACCTCTACGGAAGTGACAATACAAAAAGTAGTGTGTGTATGTATGTATATGCATGTGCAGCTTTTACCCTCTAATGGCTGCATCTTTTCCACAAGCTTTTCTTAAGGACTAATTTATAGGTATTTCCAATAAAAGAACTTATCCAGAAAGAAGTGACACCAAAAGGCTTCATCACAGCTTGATTAAAATTTCTTCAGTATGATCTAAAAGCCATCTCAATTGCACCAAGAGTAAAGGAGTGTTCCCATTAACAAACTGTATTGACACTTAAGGGAATATATCACTGTATAGCATTAAAGCTTTCAATAGAAATATTCAAAGCTTAGGACACAACTCTAAAAAGTAATAATTTCCCTTCTTCGAAATAACCCAGTACATGCTTATCTACACAGGAACAAAATTTCTTTGTATTATTCTCAACTGATCCAGAGTCAAGCAGAAAGCAGACATATATACGAAATGCAGAGATTGATTTAAGAAGGATCTTTTCTCTTTAGTTTGTAATGGCTATGAATATCACTCCTCACTGCGGTCAACTCTACTTGTATTACAGCAATGTCCCACTAATGATCATGGCTTCATATCTGAGACACAGTGTACATGCAAGAGTCATTCTCTACTCTCAAAACACAGAATTCCAACACAGAAGTCATCTCTTCAAATATCCAAAGATCTAAAAGGACAAAACTGTCTACACCAGAGCACTGGGCCTTCTGTATCTTGGTAAAGATTAACAGAATCAGACTAAAGATCTACAAGAAGTTATGTCTACTATATTTTGAAACTAAAGATAAAAAAAGCACTAAAATGTAAATTACTACCAAATCTTAAAATTATAGTCACTTAAACATTTTGGCCTGCTATACATCCTCAAGCCTCTAAGGCTAAGTAGCCTTTGAGAGAATCTGACTCTACCTTCTCTTTTGGACCTCTTCTATTCAGAAAACACGCCTACCTCCAAAACTGACCTTCAACCCAAGACTTAGAAGAGCTTAGTTATTCTGTCAAGAGAAAACTACTTAATGGCTAACTTAATATGCAAACCATGACACATTGCTTTGTCATCGGCTTGCTCAGATGGAATAGCTGAAGTACTAACACCACATGCACAAAGTAGAGATGTTATTTGAAGAGAGGGGTATTTCAGTTATAAGCTTCATTGACAGCCAGAATTCTTGAAAAGACAATAAACAAGCACTGTATTTAAGACCTTCCATTGTGTTTGATTGAAAGCTTCAACACTATTTCACTCAAACAGGCTCCTTGTGTTTAAAAAGAAAGCATTTATTTAAATATTTTAATGCACCTTTAAGTCTCTGTGCATAATTGGAGGCTTCTGTTTATGCATATGCTGCACTGCTCTGCAGGTCTGATAAAAGATCTTCAATACTGTATCACAGGAGATAGGTCCCTTGGACTCTACTCTCTTTAAGAATTCCACCAGCTGTCCTGCAGGAACAAAGAAACTCATATTAACACACACAACACCAATTTCCAAAAGCTTCTCATTAGCACAAAGATCTCTGCTCATCAAGGGAGATTTACAGCACAGTGCTTTAATACTCCAGATGGATATAGCAAATTAACAGACTACAGTGAAAATAATGCTGTTAAATAATATTCCCTTTGTTCCTTCCCCAGACAGGCCTCAAACGCAAAGCACTTGATCATCCCACAAAAGATGAGGTTGAACTGTGCTGAAATCTGTGATTTTTAAGAAGTATTCAGAACTTGTAAGCTGTGAAGCAATCTGTGCAGAAGAGCTGTCAGAGGCAAGGTGCACCACTTAAGGAAAATTAACTTTACCTTTACACAGCTCAGTAAGCAGAAGAAACTCTCCCTGTCCCGTGTCTGATTCTTCTTTTCCTATAGATGCAGCAGAGCAGAACTGTACAATGTTGGGATGACCTGAAAGCTTTTTCTGGAAACAATTTGTTCAAGGAAGACATCTGCCAAGTTTATTGATACTGTGCACAGCATGTCACAGACATTTTATTTGAAATGTCAGCTCAAAAGTGCAGAAAGCATCACAGCTGCACTTAAAATCCCAAGCAGAATGAGAAACTCCTAGTCTCAGTCAGAAAAAAAAATTGTCTTCAAGGCAAGTGACTGGAAGTAATATAAAGTCAAAAGAAAATGGTAGAAAGCCACCATTGTGATTAAGAATGAGGAAGGTGGACCCCTTTCATGTCTAGCTACTTCTTTTTCTCTTTTGAGAATGACTGTATTAATAGAAGTAACAGACCATTTAAAGTATCAACCTGTTCTCTAGCTGCCAGATGAAGAAAGGGCCATTGTACTTTTCTTTCCAAAAGAAGGATTAACCATGCCTCTTACATTTTAATTCTAAGTAAAAGAAACAGTTCATAATAAATAAAAGCTCTGAAAAAGTTTCCTCTCCTGCAAGTCATTTTTCATACCAAACCATATCATGTTTCACTTTCTATTCATAAAGTCAAGATTTTATTTTTGAATTACACCTAGGTGAGAAAACTTAAATGACCTCAGCTCCTCCTACTGTACATTATAATGTGTCTTTTTATTTTCTGTTATGCCTTATCTAAGCCAAATAATGTGACTCATGCCTGGAATTCATGAATACGGAGAGGAGAGGAGGAGGAGAGGAGGAGGAGAGGAGGAGGAGAGGAGG